ATGACGTCGGTCTGCTGAAATTCTCATTATCATTGAATAGAGGTTCTTCAGGACCCTAAAGTAGTTGATGTAGCATTTGTATGAGTTTGTGGTCGACTGGGCCCACATCGACACATTGTCATACCGGGTGAGGCCGTTTCTCCTGTAGCTACCACAGCGCTGGTGATGTAAAGATTCTTTCACAAACGGCGCATACTGAACCGTACCTGCAGCTACATTGGCAGTCGACTCCTTCGTGGTAGGAGTGTCTTTATGCTAGCCTGCCAGGATTACCAGGCATTTAAATAAATACTTGTGAAATCTGTCCCGGAACCGGCCCATGTCCTCGGAGATGATTGACTACCATGGCTTTTCCAACCTCGTTCAAGTCTCCCAATATTCGAGGTGCTCCAGTATCCAATCTCCAGACTCCCCGCGTCCATGATTAGGTACTAGAATTTTTTTCTCCAGGTGCAAATAGAAAAGCCAAATGCAACGACCAAATTGTATTTTAAGCTGTATCTCAAAAATATCTACGAACCATCGGCATTCTTTTCCGCTGCCGAATGAACATGCGAGGCCACGGATCCGGTCGCAGGGAGATCTGCAAACGCACGCGCCTATGACTTAGCGTCAGCCAGGCACCTACTAGAAAGGAGTCCAGTTTTGATGTCGAAGAAAAGCAGCTCTTACCTCCTTTGAGGTTAAATTCCTGGCATCGTCCATCGTGATCTCATTCAACGGCTTGCTCAAGACTTGCTCGGCCTTGGACGCCCATCGAATCTGGTCCGGATTCACCTGGTCTCGGGTGCTTTTAGCCTGGAACATCTCACCTACAAAAGACACTCCAAAAGCCTTACCTGTTAATGACTCGTCGGCAAGCTCTGCGCTCTGTTGCGTAATGTAGGTGATTTCCTCGTCGGTGAGTGGTTGACTGTGTCGTCGGCGTTGGTGGGCTCGTTCGCGAAAGCGAAGAGTGTCCATATTCTCGAGGTCAGACATTATGTAGTGAGGATGTGTCTTTCGTAGATCTACCTTTGAAACACGCCGTCACATTCGCACGGCGGAAAAGCTATATAAATGAAATCGGAGGCGGGGGCGGGCATATGATGAAATGTCAATATACGTCAGGAATTTCCGAGAGCTACCGTGAACTAAGGAAGCCATAGTTTGGCGCACTCGCCCCATATTTCAACCAATGTTAAGCAATAGAAGCTTATATTCAGTGACATACCAGTGACGCCGTGGCAAACTCGTAGTTGCACGACAGGCTGAGCCGGATACCATGGGCTAAATTCGACCTATTGAGGTTTGGAGAGCTGCATGAAGAGGACACGATCGTAGCATCACAGCCAAGCTTCCACCGCCGTCAATGATGTGATTTCTCTACTGCTTCAACCAGTGTTGCTGGTGTGAGCTTTAGGTGTTCGTGGCACACAGATCGGACTGCAGGAGGCTGCACCAGTGTTTGCTCAAGTAGGGTCAAATTGCTCCTGCGGCAGTAAACAACGTACAATTTTCTTCATGTTATTTGAGGGAAGAATCATGGCTCTCAGACCGTGGGATGAGGATTACGGACGGATTCTAACGCACTGGCGGTCAATATTGTTCTCGCAATTCCTTTGTTTAGAAGCTCAGTCAGCAACCACTCGAAAGTCTCTTCGGCCAATAGAAAGTAAATTGAAGAAAGGTACTGACCACCAGCGCTGGTACGCGCGGGGGAAGAGATCAAGGATGGAGATATCGCCATTATATTGCTGCATAATGTACGGAATTCGAAACATGTCCCTGAACGAACGAATGATGGTGGAGGCTGGTTTCAGGAAGAAAGAGATGCTCTACTACTGGACTAGACGGAATCACGTGGAGGAAAGCAGCTGGCTTGGGGCGTACATCAGATAGCCATAATGCGAGATGAGCAGGTCCAAGGATGATTTTATGAGGGGTTCTCCTTTTAGTCGACACTCTACTTAGTGGTCCTGAGAAGTTAATAGGGATTCTCGACAAATGTCAGACCCGCTGCTCGCTTTTGCAGCACATATGTCTCTTCGCCATGCCTTTTGTTCATAATTTCATGAGGCGGATGCTCGAAAACAGCAAGGAATCGTAGGAGCTCACGTATCCAATCTGCTTACTGCCCGCGTATGCAAGGTAAGTAGCTTACGGACTATCATTGTGCATATTCTGGGACGGTCTGAGAGATCAGCGATGCTGATGGTTTCTCGCAATAGCCGTGGCGCGTGGTTCGCTACCTCTACATTACTTACGTTCCTATACTTCCATATCGTCCTGTTAGCATTTTACACTCATACACATCTCCATTGTTCGCTACCTGCTGATGTCGGTATATACATGGTTAACGAGCGTGGATAAAGACATCAATAAGATCCATAAACCTTCCAGTGCCCTTCTCTGAAACCAGATTGTGCTCCTAAGACAAAAAAAGCCAACATTCAAGCGGCCATGAAGAATTTCCAAGTCGCATCAGGCGCCAGAGAACTACCCACACCCAGAGGAGCAGCGTCATGGCCACCGTCATAGGCGATAAATGAAACCGGCTTAGAGCAGCCCTTAAAATCCGTGCGGACCGAGCCATGGCTGCCAGACTGTGGTTTGCCAATGTTGGCTTGCTGGCATCTATTGTTCTTTACGAACTTCTGGGCCAGGTTGACGCCCCCTTGGAAGGGCAGCACACCATCATTGATGCCGTGGATGCCGAGATAAGCAATTGGGTCGTTACCACCGTCGCAACCGCTGATCACGCCACCACTCAGGACAGAGACAGCCCTAAACTGCTTCGCACGCGAGCAGGCTAAGGAGTAGGACATGCCACCACCCCAGCTAAAGCCTGTGGCAAAGCGAGAGCTTTGGTCAACGCAGAGGTCGCCCTCGACTTGCTTGATGATTGCGTCGATGAAGGCAATATCCTCGCCGCCGTTGTTGGCCCAGCCAGCATTCTTGCCGTTAGGAGCAACGAATATGGTGCTGCCCTGAGCGCGTGTCTCGAGGCCATACCAGGGCTGGACACTTTGGCCGTCGACAATGTTCCACATGTTGCCGCCGCGCCAGTGCAAGCCAAAAACCAAGTGATGGGCTTTGTTCTTGTCGTAGTTGTCAGGGACCTTGAGTATATACTCCCGGCCATTGATGTTGTGGACACCGTTGGTGAGACTCGGCTGTTTGCCGCAGCCAGAGGATCGAGTTTCAGCTAGTACTGAAGGCGTGAGGGCGCTCAGCGCCAGGATGGCCGAATAGATCATGGTTGGAACCATTGTAAGAGAGGTATGTTGATTGACGGATATGACAGTAGGTGATAATATGGAAGATGGATGGTGCTCGCAGGGCAGCTGAGAGACCTACGAAGCAATGTCTTGATGGCAATTGTGCCTGGTATTTATGTCTCTGGTCGTACGATCCAGATGATTCAACTTCTCGGCTGATGTTGACCAGGAATTCATTTCCATTGCCGAAGTGAAGATCTGCAAAATGCTGTCTTTCGGGGTGGACTTTCCATCAGTTGTGTGCATCGCCGTTTTCGACTTGTGCTATAGGCTATAGCACACTCCGCTCACCCTTGCGTCAGGGACCCTTCTAAGGCAGGCTTTTGCAGATGAGCGGGTCTGCTGTTACGGTTAAACATAGTGCGTAGGGGAAAATAGGGTGCCTGGTGCCAAGACGGCTGCTAGCCCTTTGGACCACGGGGGTTGGTTTGAAATAGTTACCCTGAGACCCTGAGTCCCAGAATGTCTCATCGGCCCATTGCCAAGATAGGATGGACCCTTAGAGCCATGCCAAAATGGCGCTGCCCGGTTGGTGAACATACCTCTCATTTGCCGACGCGCATTGCTTTGCTTGACTGACTGACTCGTTCTGTGACAGAAATGTCGTATCTTGTGGCCAACGTCCAATTGCAACTTGCGACTCACTGTAGAAGACTGAATATGGATAGTCTCAAGTGGTTCATCTACTCCGTACTATCTACTCCGTACTTGAGGTTGGTCAACAAGTTAGCTGAGCCGGAGACAACTGGACTTGTTGTCGCTTCAGTTTAGAGTGCATGGATGTCAACTGAGACACTGACCTCTGGACCCTGGTAACTTCTGAAGACCATGACGTACCTGGCGCGATACAGGATTCGTCATCGGCAGATGCAAGGTATCCTACATACCGAAGACTATAGATTCCTGCGAGTATACGTGATAGAATCTGATTCTCCTCATGTATTCAGCCTGAATGTCAGTATCCAGGCTCTCCCATCTTGAGGACAACAGTCGACAAGTGGACCGAATCGCCAATTCTAGAGCTTCGCCAAGCCCAGATCTATTTGGACTTCTCCGTTGTTCCATGCCTCGCCATAGATTTGTCCTGAAAAGCATTGCCTTCATCCGATAGATCAATTATCAGCTATACAAGTCTTCAATCTCAGCCACATCACGGACCATCTTCACCTCTTTGCGAACCCTGACCTACTCTGAGATGAAAGTATAGCTGAGATACGCGAGCTACAGGGGTCCGAGAAAAGAAAATGTACATGTCTGGACTCTGGCCAGCTCAACAGGGAAAATCTAAAAGAGTCGAGCTCCCATACCTAGTTGGTCCATGGACGTGCCAGGGTCTTGTGAGCTCCATTCAAAGGAATTTAAGTGAAACACCGAAGTTCTGGGCGCCTGAGGGTACGAGGTGGATCCACCGACCCGCCAACATGAAGCACGGCCAGCGCCGTTCCTCGCTTGGCATATTTCGGATAGAGTGAGGCTATTCAGGATGTGAAGCTCGTTCGAAGCAAACACTCGGATTACGATCTGTGCTGGGTGATAAAGACACTGAGAACTTAAAGGTTTATAAGGAACGCCAATTCCTCTGTTTATTGACTTCAGCAGATTCACCGCGTGTCTGTCTCTACTGTTTGCTTTCTTCTACCACAGTACACTTTATCTTTCTCGGGCCGGTCCCATTCCATTCTCTCTTGTACCAACAGCCTAACCGCTCTTTTATTCTGCCTTTTTTTTTTTTTTTCCAAAATGAAGCTGTCCCTTCTTGCTGCCGTGGCCATGGTGCCATTTGTGTCTGCCCACTATTTCTTTGATGTCCTGGTTATCGATGGCCAGGAGACCAAAAGCAACGAGTTCGTTCGCTCCAACACCCGCCAGGCCAAGTACAACCCGACCAAGTGGAAGAACACTCGCGACGACATGACTCCTGATATGACCGACTTCCGCTGCAACAAAGGCGCCTTCACCTTTGCTGGCAAGACAGGCACCGCCGAGGTCAAGGCCGGCTCCAAGCTTGCAATGAAGCTCGCCGTCGGTGCTACCATGCAGCACCCGGGCCCTGCCTTGGTGTACATGTCCAAGGCTCCAAGCAGCGCAAAGACCTATCAGGGTGACGGCGACTGGTTCAAAATTCACGAGGAAGGCGTTTGCAACAAGAACGCCGACTTCACCAAGAATGCCTGGTGCACCTGGGACAAGGACCGCATTGAGTTTACCATTCCTTCTGATCTTCCCGATGGAGAGTACCTCATCCGCCCTGAGCACATCGGTATGCACACCTTTCACCTTTCCTCGTCCTGAAATATATGATACTAATACAAATTCAGGTATTCACGGAGCCCACGATGGACAAGCCGAGTTCTACTACACGTAAGTACCAGCTCGGATTCAGCAGCTTAATAGATCTTTCTGACCAGATTCCAGCTGCGCCCAAGTCAAGGTTGTCGGCGGCGGCAACGGCAAACCCGGTCCTACTATCAAGTTCCCCGGCGGATACAAGAAAGACGACCCCTCCTTCAACTTCAGTATCTGGGGTGGCTACAAGGATTATCCTATGCCTGGTCCTGCTGTCTGGACTGGTGGCTCTGGCTCCACCTCGTACTCCAAGGTTGCCAACGTCACCGATTCCGATGAGTCTTCCCAATCGGGTGCTTCTTCCTATCAAGACACTGTGAGCACCTGTCCCAGTGATGACTACAGTCGCCGCCACGCTCGTGACTTCAAGAACTAAGCTTCAACTGGCCCGTCTCTGTCAAAAATACTGCCGAGTGTGGGAATCAGGTTTTCCGGAAATGTGTAACTAGGTGCTTTTCTCTTGGGCTTTATGCCATTCCTGATTAATCAATCTATGTCGCGGTGAAACATTTTAAAAGAAATAGCTATCATTCAGTTTGATAGAGGTTTTATTTGTACACACTCCCCGCATACTAGTGTGAGATATAGTAAGAGTCTCATTGTGCGGACCAACCATACGCAAGGGGATATTCTCCTCCCTAGTAGGTAGACTGGGGCACGTGAAAATATAGGACGTGGGTCCATATCTGACTTTAAGTGGTGAGCATAAATAAACTACAGTAACACTGATAGTCAGAAGGGGTATGAAATAGACACCGTCGAAAGTCTGGCGTTTGAGACGCAAGCCACGTCTCATGTGTGGTGTATCACTGTCCTTCCCCTAAACATTGCCTCAGTACGGACTTTGTTGGATATCTCCCGGTTTAAAAAGTAGCATTACTCGAAATTTCAGTAGTTCTCCTCATCCCTTTGATCACCAAGTCTGAATTCTGTGGTTGATGTGCGTCACATTCTTGTCACCGTTGCGATCTCAGTGTGTAAGCTACTGATTGTATTGTACAAAGTATAAACCCAAGCGGAGATACATCGCCAACCTAAACTGGGCAAAGACACCAGTCCGTGTCTTCGTCCTACGACATAATCTGCAAAATAGTCGCATCTCAGACATAGGTGCTTGAATTCGAGTCTTGCGGAGGTGAGGCCGGCCTGGTCAAGACGTAATTTCTGTTGGTGATGTCTTCCAAGCTTCTATCTCCAGTCTCACTTTTTGGCAGTGGTTGTATATCCGAACTTCCTCTGTTTGGCATCTGGTCCTTATAACAAAGCTTACGCATGTGTTTAGTTGGCACACCAACAGTAGTGAGGAGACTAGGGCTCAAGTATCTCTAGTAATATGTTTCACGGTCAATAGATCCTTACTACGATCTACCAGTGGCAAAAGAAAATAGTAAAATGGCATCAATTCGTAAAAGCTATCAAGCTAGCTGTGGTGGACTCGTAGAGTCCCCGTGTGCTACCGCAGTTTATCTCCGCATCGAAAGATAAATCCAGTATTCTTCGTTCAATAAGATCAAGAACCTCATGCCTCGACGAAGCCTTGTCACAGGAATGTAACCCAGGTAGGCTGAGTAGGCTCAAGCCACAGGAGGGATTCTGCTACGGCATTCTCCGCCAACACAAGACTGGCTGGGGGGGCAATCCATGTTCATGCGGCAACGAGTCTCTTCATGGAGGGCTCCTGACGAAAAGAAGAGTTAGCTGGGCTGAACGTCCCACGAAAGGGAAACAAGTACTCACCATCAGCACGGGCACCGAGGGCACCAATGCTAACGCAAACGCTGCGGTAGCAGAACTGATGAGGAGGGCACCAGAGGTTGATATTGTTGCAGCGACGCGGTCCACCCTCAGTGCCGAGGTTGGTTCCTGAGCATCAAACTGTAAGTATAGGGTATGGGAACTCGCGAGCGAGACTTACCCTCATCACGCGTGGCAAGCTCGGGGTAGATTCCAATGACGCATTTTCCATCAATGCAAAGCTCACCATATCCGCAGGAATCGAGACTCTCGCAGATACGAGTGGCAGTATCATCCCCATTAGCTTTGAGGGTAGTCACTGAGGCATAACAGTTAGGGACATGCGTCGGGAAATATTTAGGCAGAAATGCTCTCACCGTCAGCGTGGGTAGCAAAGTCCTCAACAGCTCCGTTGGCGGGAGTCGCAACATCTAGCTTCGTTAGATGTCTGAATTCCTGTATTTCAACAGAGAACTCACTGTTGTCATCGACTACTCCATTGTTGACCTCTGGGAGAGCAGCCGAAGCTGCAAGAGGGGCAAGAAGGAAAAGCATAAGAGCGTGAAGCTTCATCCTGAAGTAAAGGGCTGGTATAGCGTAGTATTTTCTTAGTGGTTTGATGATAAAGGAACTTGCTAGAGGAGAAGTAGTTGGGTGAGAGAAAGAAGAAGAGCTCGATGATGGGGGGGTGCAAAGGGTATTTATAGACAGAACCTCATGAGAATAGTGATGGGGGAGGCAAAACTCCCAAGTATAGTGAATGCCAGTGAAAGCAGGAATAGTCTTTACGAAGGACCTAGAATTGAGCAGAAGCTATAGTACCTGACTTACTACTCTACTCTCACCAGAAGCAAGTGTAGTTCTTTGCTTTGGACTCTGACGTATGGTTCAACAGCTTATGAGAAAGTGAAGAAAGCCGTTCTCCAGTATTGTAAATAAACTTTACGCCTCAGGTACAACATGTTATGGGCTTCGTCTGGAACAGACGAGGCTTCCCAGCAGAGGGGCATTGGGGACCAGCCTCAAATGTTGATTCCAATCATTTTCAGAACCAGGCAGATACTCTAAACGGTTTCTTTGAGTCAAGACGGGAGTAGGTTAACCCATTGAACCTCTTCAGTTTGGTGTGAAGAGATCTCCTAAATGAAGCAGTGCCTCGAAACCTCTCTTGTTGTCCACACGCCCCCGTCCTCCCGACTACCCTCTCACCCGAACATCACGAATCACTGGCTCAACGGAACCTATAAGCAGCGCTTATAAACAATAGACTGGCGTGATTATCGCCCTCTCAGACCTACAGAGAAAATAAAGCGAGTTCAGGCAGCAGCTCCATTGTCTGATTCGAGATATGACCGGATTGTTCGTGCTTTGCGAGTCCTATTCAAATCCACAGTTCCGGGCATCAGAGTCAAGCATAGACGCGTCAGAAAAGTGCTGCTTCTGCTTTGGCAAATGTTCTATACTAGTCTGCTGTTCACGGCATCTCTGGTCGTACTTTGCAATGACGAATGAACCAATGTCAGATCTGCGTAAGGACCAAGTTAAAGATAAGGTATATGACTTCTTTGAGTCTTCCTGTCTTTGATCACACCGACCAAGTAGACTATATTGCACTATTAAACAGCAATAGCTAATTCGGGATTTCCCCGTGCAATCATTGGTAGCAATTCCAGCAACCCCGTGGCATCCGTTCAAGCTCGTGTCATGGCAACCAAGTCAAAGCGAAGAGCGACCCATAAAACCACTTCACATATCCTGCGACAGCGTATCAGCAACGGAAGACCTGGGAATGCTCTATATAGCTAGAAATAATATTTTCAGCGAGCTGTGATCCCACCAGAGTCAGTCTGGTGTTCAATGGTCCGCATCTATTCGTCAACCTCCCTGTGGTGCATTCCTCCAACTTTGTCCTAAGTGAGTAAGCTTGTAGCTATCAGGGCCGGGGTATGTCCTCAAGATTTTCATTCAATACGCCGGGCTGTTCGTTCTGAGCCTCTAGGTCCTCCACTCTTGTCTTCCGTGCGACAAGATGATCAGCGACAGCTGGTCACCCATCGAAAACATTAGACTCCACTCAACCTATAGCATCGAAGAGTAGAGCTTACCGTGAACAAGCCAGTGCTCATCATTGTAGACATACACCATGATCTCTTTACCGTCTTCAGTGAGCCGAAATGCTAGAGTGGGCTTTCCGCGCAGGCTGGCAGTTGAGGGTATAAGTTAGCAAGGAGATCAATCTGTTCTACTTTCAGAAATACATACTGGACTGTGACAAGGGCTGCACAAATGGTACCCAGAAATAGGAATGTAATCGTGACAATTGAATAGATGCCAAGCATCAGAAACCACAGGGCCCATGCGCCAGGGCTATCTGTGGCCATTCTGCTTGTTTGTCTGAGTGTAGGCGAAGGACTTGATGAACGTGTGTAAACAAGGATTGAAAGATGTCGAAATATGGTCTGCGTCAGAGTTTAGATACTCTGACCTAGTGATGTGTGTTGATATTGAATAGGTTGAAAGAGAGTGTGTGATTTTGCCCTGAAGAATTCGGATAACTCATAGATGAGGAACTCACAAATTGCTTACTGTATGGGGAAAGGGCAACCATGGTAGAGCCTAGCCCGTAACTACTGTAAGGAGTTCATTGTTGACAAAGCTGTGCATTTCGAAGGCAAAAAAGAAGGAAATCTTTCCTGCTCTCTGTCATGTTCTCTGCAAAGAGTAGTAGAGCTCTGTTCTCAAGTCCGTCCCAGTCCTGTGAGAGTCCAGACTGCTCAGCATGCCTTGCGGTTCTGTTCTGCTGTCGAAAAACGCACTTTTCCGAGTCGGGCAGAGACATTGGTTGTGGCCACTTGAAAATGAGGTCGAAGACTGCGTAAAAACACGTATTTTCCACCGACTGAGACGTGCCAACAAGGATAAGACCTGAGTGACGCTTGAGTGTGAATTTGCAGAGATTTATTTGGCTTGCTTGCGAGTATTCCAAAGCAAAAGCACTCGAGTAATCATGTGATTGCTCTTTTCTTAACACCCAACCTGCTTTATCATGTGTTCAGTGATCCTCTCTCCTCTGCTTGAAAAATTTTGCTTGGCCACTTCTATGTCCTTCGAGTTGAATATACCCGGTAGCAAACTGTGAGTCTCGGATCCATCAGCTTTGTGTTGATTGTCTCGAAGAAGTTGAGATTCATTATACTAGAAGTCCATCAAGGCATGCCTCAGCGTTTTGCGCCCTCAAAGGCTTCGTTGCGTGATTACGAATGAAGCTAATATTCCTATTAGTGAAGGTGCAGAAAGAAGGGACACCTCTATGATCACTGGTCCGTAAACGAGCTATGCTATTGAGAAAGCCTTCCTTCCTTTTGAAGCCGCCAACTATGCCCGAAGACGAACACCATCCATGCTAACGGACTCAAACTAACGCACAAAAAGCCAAGCAGTGTCCCTGTCCAACCTACATTGATTCGGTCGATAAGCGGTACGGCAGCAGCGGTCGCGCCTGCTCCAAACAAGCATCGGAAAAAGTTCGTTGCAGCCGTGGCGGTAGCTGGCTGTTCAGCATGACAGTCGATGATCAATGTCGTCAAAGTACTGGTAATCCCGGATAATGCATGAGCCACCAAGAACAACATGAGAAGCGGCACAGCCACATGAACTTCAAAGTTAAGAACCCAGGCGTACACGACAATGAACACAGAAGCGATGTATACGAGTGGGAGAGCGACCTGAAGCCTGGCCTTCTCTAAGGGAAAACTCGTAAGTTTGAGTTCTTTCTTGTGGTGGATATCAAATCCCACATGATGGGCAAAACGCCGAAAATTCCAGTTCATCAAGGTTCCGGCTGTCCATCGCGAGGTCAAGCTTCCGCCTCCGTATGATAGATAGCATAACCCGATCTGCAGCGCATTGAAACCATAGTGCTTTCCCAGCTCAAAGGGAAGGGTCGTCGTGATGGAAAGATAACCCGCATATATGACGGCGCTGAAAAGGATGGTACATGCAGCTTCCTTGTCCCAAACCAGTTTGAGAGTATTCCAAGGGCTCGGACGCTGCTTGAAGGTGGCTATTGTCTGGTATTGAGCTGGTGTAGAGTGGCGACCTGGAAACAGGGCGTCCTTCAATGGATAGTTCCATTTCTGGGGGGCAACGCTACCGTTCCCTACGACGGCACGGCAGGTTTCAGGCAGCAGTGTGACGACCAACAGAAGCAAAAATCCAGCAAAGATCGTCAAAAACCAGAACGCGCTCCGCCAGCCAAGGTAGTGCGTCAGGATACCCCCTACTACTGGCCCAAGAGCAGGGCCAACGGTCGCTCCTAGCACTGTGTATGCCATATATTTTCCGCGCTCCGCACCAGATACCACATCAGCTGTTGTTGCAGTGCCCACAATGGCCACAGTGCTGCTGAAAATACTCTGGACGGACCGAAGTACGATGAGTGCAAGAAAGGTTGTTTGGACGGCCAGACCGACATTTATCCCAACATACAGAATCAAACTGATCATGAGGGTAGCGCGACGACCTGTCTGATCAGACAGGCTACCTGTTACCAACGGCGCGATTCCTTGAAATACCTAAGTTTTGACTTAGCCTATTGCCATTGGCTTGAACAGGAACGCAGGAACTCACCTTGAAGGAGGTGACGGTAAGATTAATGGTGTGGTTTGACACATGAAGATCCCGCGCCACTGCTTCAATTCCCGGGTAGTAGATGCTGGCCGAGAGGGGAGACAAAAAAGTTGCCAGAGAAGCGATCGAGACAGTCAAGACCTTTTCTCTCTCCGATAACACACTATAACATGGCCCGTCAGATTCTGGCTCAGCCCCTTCTTCTTCTGTTTCACATAATGTCGGTAGCTGCTTCTCTGCCGGAAACTGGCTGAGTATATCTTGTTTTGAAGGTATGGGTCCTGAGTGCCTTTCGTCCGCCATCGTGCTCTTCTCGTAGTCAATTGAAGAGCATACGGTAAGGCTTTCTTCTCAGAGAGCCTCTACAGAAGCCCCGGATTGCTGTATTATTTTACCATGCAGTGCTGAACGAGTCCTCGATTTCTAGGCTAAGCGGGTTCATATCCGTGCACTCCCTGGGGTTGGCCCGATCCTTCTTATATGTTGAATCAGATAACCGCTTACCAAATGGAGCAATTGGGCCATTCCTTCGTTAAACCTTGTATAAGTGAATGGCCAGGCACATTCCAGATTGCTTCATATGTGGAGATCATCTTCAGTGCTTGGTAGTGCTAAACTAATACCAAGTGCTTACATGGTGCAAGTACCCCTTCCTTCCGAAGCAAACGGTCTGTACGACTCTTCACTGGACACGTCACACGACAGGGTGGCCCCTCGATTGGCAACATTCTGTTTTGCATACTGACGGCTCTCACCCTGCGGATGTGTGACGTTTCTTCTTGGAAAAAGATCCGATCTCGGTACGAGTACCTGACAGACTGACGAAGGAACTTGGAAGACCTGGGAAACCTAAACGGAGGCCAAAGCAAAGGAAAATGGAAGATCGACGGGCCTTACATGCTTGTAGCCCCTTGCATAGCCAACAGTCCCCTGTATGATGCCCGCTGAAGGGACTCACCAGGGCCGACTGTTAGCAGAACAAGCACGTGCTCTCGTACGGGAAGGTTTTGCCGGAAATTAAGTTGAAACTAGATCATCATCATTCCCAGGATGCGCGCGGTAGAATGTCGGACATTCTATAAGCCAATCGCACGATGCCATCCAGGTCCTTATGGCTTGATGACCATGGCTGAATTCACCCTACAGACTACTCCATACAATATATTTCATACCCTTTCAAGTACTAAACATTGCCTCGGCTGCTGCTGCTTTTGCGAAAGTCGAATAATGATAAAGAGAGAGATGTTGATATTCTTATAAGCTCAGTACACAGATGGAAGACGTCCAAATCCACGAAGCACATAAACTAGAGGGACCTAACGAGGTTTTGAGTTTCAAAATCCCTCTGGTAAAACTGAGGTCAGCTCAGGCATGTGAAGAGACTGCCCATCTAAGCCTAGACTGGGTCTCACTAGACCGTACACTGAACTGCCAGGGGGAAACACAAGCTTCATATAGTAGTTCGACTTCGGTTGTTTAACAGAGCACAGCAGCAGCAGCAAAGTAACACGTCAACCCGTCAAGCCCGAATCTAGGCTCTGCTTTTGTCCCTTCTCGAGGATATCCAGCTCGGCAAGCAGCGCACAAGCTGCAACGATTCGAAAGCTCTTGAGCTCGCCATAATCGTTCCTACGACCATACGTGCTATCGGCATTCTGTTCTTCGGCAACTTGGAAACACGCAAGGCAGAGCTCTAATGTTTCTGTGCCTGTTTTATAGTCTGTACGCGGAATCTCCACCTTGCGATGTCTGTGCATCTGGTCCGTGATCCACGAGGCAATACGCTCAAACTCGTCCGCCAGTTTCTGCGATTGATCGCGCTGTCGACGAGTTTGTACGCCAGACTTGTTTATGACGGAGCCGATAAAGACCTCTAGCTCGCTAAGTGGCTTGATTGGGTGGTCGGAGTAATTGTTTCTTGCGGAAAAGATTGCGTCCTCGTACCTGAAGTTGGTCAGTAACTTTAAGGGATCAGAGCAAAAGAGCAAAAGAGCAGAGCAAAAGAAGGACTTACGCCAGCCGGATGCACGTAGCTTCGTCTATCCAACGTTCACATGAAATTGGCGAAAAAGCATTGCAGCGCCTGGTGATTGACCAAATAAATTCTTCCCAGAAAAACTCTTCATCTGGAGCGGTTTCCGAATGGATCTCATTGAACCAGATTTTTCGCTCGTCTACCGCTCGGTATAGCTTTCCAAGGATTTTTTCGGATCTGTAGTACTTTCGTGGAAGCTCGTGGTCGTCGTCTTCGTCATATGCGGTCTGCAAAACATATCGATCCAAGTAAATGTCGGATTTCGCATAAATGTGCGCCTGAGGCCCTGGAGCCAAGCTGCGTATCCACATTGCCAGTCAGTATGATGCTCAAATTTCCCCATCAGAAAGGTGCAAGAGAAAGGGGGAAAGAGTGCCAGGTGACAGAAGCTTACAAGTCCGGCCTGAAGTTGTTCGCTTTTGGAAGCTCACCCAACTCTACGGGAATTCCCGTCTTCGAAAAGTCCACCGCCGTCGAGTGTAACTGAGCAAGTCTTTTACAATCCGGGTGAGATGTGCCTTCATCCTTCTGATCCGCCAAGATCATGTGCCTAGTAGCGATAACTCCTAGATGATCGGTCCTCATGAAATCGATAAAAAAGTCAGCCATATCATCAGCCGTAACGAGACGGCCTACGCTGAGAGGCTCGACCCGAGGGTAGTCAGCAGGCTTGAATGTGCATTTTGGTCGTGCCTCCGGGTCCCAGATAATGTTGTAGATATCGCCATCAAGATCTCCTCCACTCAGTTTACTTGGAAGATCACGGTCTCCCTTCGCACTAAAGACGACACAGTTTCGATGTTGTCTTAATGGATGATTTGCCGGTGGAAGTACCTGGTAAGCCTGCTGTATATCTCCGTCATGGAGAGCTGGCGAGCGCGTTATCAGAAGCCTTCCGGGAGGTGGTGGTGGCTCAAACCGTCCTTCCACGGTTTCAAATGTCACGTACACCTCATCGCTCTGCAAGAACTCGGTCTCGTCTACAATACCGAAAAGCGTTATGCCCTTTTTCACAGGAATGCGGGCCCTGTGCTTCAGCAGACGAACTTCACGGAGTACCACCGCTTCGACGAGTGAACGCAGAAAAGGTACCTTTTTGTAGTTAATCTGAAGGAGGTGAGCTTGATAAAATAGTCTAAAGAGCCCGGAACAGTCTCCGATGGCCTGTCTTTTGATGAAGACAGCCGTGTTTCGCGCGCTTGCGGTGATGCTCCGAAGGTGCTGCAGTTGAGTAGTCTGAAGATTGAAAAACCAATCCTCCGCGACTCCCATATCCTCCAGGATCTTAATCATCTGTCGGTTCAGCACAAGTGGTATTGGTTTGTTGGCCATGTCGCAGATCTCCAAGTCTATCATATCAGCATCAAATTTGATCATGGATGGTCGAACCTGTATGACAGAGCCGGGGAGTCTGCTATCAACTGCTATCATGCCCTTGGATCCTCCTAGACGAATTTGGAAGCACGTAGGTCTCCCCTTCTTGGAGGGTATATTTGCCCATATCTTATGGAGGGCGCCGATTGAAAGTGACCCCACTCCATCGCTAAATACTCTTGAACCATCTTCCGACCTCATGTCTGGCACCTCCACTATATTAATGTTGTTTGCCTTGATTGGGACGGCAAACGGCGTCTCTGAGAACGCTTGCCCGATACGTGCGGCACACCGAGCCGGAGAGATAATTTTGGAAAAATCACCAAGAGCTTTGATGATGCTGAAATACGTCTGGAAGTTACCATTCGCGTCAAAGAAAGGGGAAGAAAACTATTAGGAGAGAGCCACATTAGCTAAAGGTCCTTCCGAGGCATAAATTGATTGCACTTGCCCACACTGAATGCGCTCTGAGAGAAGAATGGGACCATCCAAGAAACGAGTAAGTTCGGCCTGCAATCTGGATTCCGCGAGTGAGGACATTCTTGAATCGAGAAAAAACATCATCAAAGTTGACTCTTGAGTTAAAATATAGATCACCTCCTTCTTCGTCACAGAATTGAACTCGGATGAAGTTGTCGTGATGGTTTGGAAACCGCCGGAGAATGCGATTGAAAGGCTCGGGTTCTGGGCCATGGAGTGTAACCCGTGTCGGGGTTACCATTACCCTGTGGATCAGCGCTAGATTCTGGGTTGGGCCCAGGACACCTTGTCCCTGCACGATGCCCAGTTGTATATCCTTCTCATTTTGGCGAAGTGCGGCCATCAAAGATGCGACTTCAAGGTTCGCGGGATCCTCGTGTGGAAACCGCCAGGGTATCATGCCAAAGAGCTTTCGAATAGACGGGACGGATATTGGGGTTTGGCCTTCCTTTCTGTTTGCCTTGTATTCTTTCCAAAGCTCATTTGCCAGACTCATTACTGTTTGTGGCAAGAGGTATCCGTTATAGGCAAGCGCTTGGAGTTGGAAGAGGACGCCGAAAGGGAGTAAGTTCTCCCTGGCATAAGAGGCGAGTTGTCTCCTGAACAAACTCATATGTTCTTCGAAAGTCACCGAACGAATGCCTCCAGAGATCAGATCGTAGTGTATAATCGTTACTTCCCAGTGCTTCAGTTCTTGTATCGCCGTAAGAAGGTCGATTGGGGAGACTCTGAACTGGTACACCAAGCATTGCCCAACAACCTCTGCATGTCGCTGGTCCAGTGAGCACTTGCGTAATCGTGTAGGTGCCGCGCCATTTGCAACACCGTGAGACTTGATGCTTAGATTATACACCATCGTCATCAGGATATCAACAGATGTTTCAACCGAAAAGAAGTATGGGACCGTGGAGAGCGTCAAGGTCATATCTCCTTTACGGGACCAGACGAGACCGACGACTGTACTGAGAGGAATTCGAATGAGGCGATTGGTTCTCAACTTGACAATAATCACACGCTTCTTGAATTTCATAATTCCCGTATCTTGAAATTGCACTTCAGGGACGTAGGCCACTTGATCTCCAGAGAACTCGCAATAACCACAACTGACTCCCTGTAGCCCAAAGGAAACGGACACCTCTTCTTCATACTTGTGTACGCTGTCCTTTGTACGTTGCTCAGCCGTATGCTCTAGGCTACGAAGGGCAAGCTCCTGTGGTGGCCGCTTGCTTCGAGCGCAAAAAACATCAGTGCCCACCAGTTGCATCTTGGACTTGAGGCGCGGTCGTCCACGCGTGCCTATAGCCTGCGGAAGCTCCTCCTGCCCATGAGCGAGGATGAATCTCTCACCGTCCTCTCGATGAAGAAACGTCACATGCCCGAATGGTTTCCTTTTTGGCTTCTCACATAGATAGTCGACGATTCCCAGTCGCCTAACAAAAGGTTCAAGCTGCTTTCTCAGACCCTCATCCGTTAGATGACTGGGGAGATTATGAAGAAAAACTTCCATGTTGGTCGAGTTGTGAATGATGCGAAGAAACAAGAGAGGTAGATGAAGGAGCTGCGAGGGTAATTGCAACGAGGGAGAGAATCCAGTGGGAGAGAAGTGCGAGAGGGAAAGGTGCATTGGCAGTGGCTTAGTGAGGGGAAGCAAACAGAAGCAGGCCAACTCAAACGTGGTAGACCTGAGTGCAGGGCGACCTTTCTACTCTGTGTTCAAATATACTCAAGGACTTCTTCTGAGAATCATATCATTGAGGTGGTATTATCGACTGGTTATTTGGTTGTAAGAGTCCAGAGCAAAAGTGTCATCGATTTGGCTAATGTTTATACCAAAGATCATTAAGACACCAACTCTAGATATCTATAATACAGGCGCTTCATGCTTTCTGCCGCATCTTTTCTTGTTACTATTGTACAAATCCCTGGCCATCATGCACATCATCAATAGTATGCTTCTGCTCTTTTCGCAAATGATCTCTTCGTGATTTGTTGAGGCAATGCAAATATCATTGTCGGTGAATACTAAGGGTTGAGCAACACCAACCGTGTCAGGGAGCAAGTGAGCCATGGTTGAAGACGATCAATCATCCTCACCTAGTGTAAACAGGCTTCACCCAGCCAACCTTTCCATCTTTCTTCCATGCCACCCCTTCCCCTCAATATGGCTTCAAAGCTGGTCCCCGAGATAATAATCCAAATCCTGAAGAACTTCGAGACCGTGGAAGAAGTTGTGGTCTGCGCTTCAGCATGCAGGAGGTTCCATGATGTTTGGTTGTGCCATGCTCCTCAGATAATATGGAGTATTGCACAGAAGCAAATTCTGGCGTTGGATGATGCCTTGATGGCAGTAAGTAGTGCAAAACTGTACATGATACCAAGAATGACGGAGTCTCCAGGTTCGAGCGACAGAAATCGTGCTTGAAAGCTTCCAGAAAGAAGAGTTACCCCCAGACCCGTTTCCCCTTTCCACGTTGAGTGGTGCCGTTCGCAGACCGTCGCTCAGAGAATTCCGGCAGGTGCGCGACTTTGAGCATCTGGCCAAGTGTGCTGAACAGATCTATGTGGGAGACGAGGAGGACTTGAAGAATGAAATACAACGTGACCAGTCGGACGGCGCTGCACTGTGGGTTCTATGGAGAGAGCGATTCCACAGTTCTATCTACCGAGTCCTCCTGGCAGGCGCCGTTCTCTATCGTGCATACCAGGAACCGATGTACTTTGCGGCAAATTGGGGACTACCGAATTTTCTGGAGAAGTATGTCGAGGCATTGGCATCTGATGACATGTCGAGCGAGCCAGTGGGTGGAGACGAGCTCGATTATCTCATGACCTTTGCCCCCTACAAGCTTGGAGAGGGTGGAGGCATTCATGGTAGCTTCAAGGCTCTTGGAGAGTTTCTTGTTCAGCAAGGCAAGAAGCGCGCGCACCAGTTTAACCTTCACGAGCAAACCACAGAGATCCTTCCCCCTTTCGCAGCGCCTCAAGGCCTTAGTTCCTCAGAGGCGGCTGTTGTGTTCGTCGAACTGGGCCAGCTGCTTTTTGCCTTGGAGGTTTTGACTGGCATTCAGGATAGGCAACCGATCATCGTGAATGGGAACGGCTCCGAAGAACATGGGAGAACCAGAGTTGCCCCGGATCTTCTCTACAAGCCTGCCAGAACGACTCCTGTTGTGCTATTTGGAACCTTCTTTCCTGAGTATATCTCAACTCCAGCAAAGGCCGCTGATGCAGTCGACTCTCATCTTGTCGCTACTCCTGTTTCGCGTACGTCACAGACAAGATCAGGGGTAGGGTTTCAGCATATCTACCAGTTCCTGTATGATCTGCACCGAATGGCGGGCCGTGACAATGAATTCTCTTCCCAAAACCCTGCGCGGTATCCTCACCATCAATTCTTCGAGTACATGTTGAGAGAGTACCTGGAGCTCCGGTTCGTTGACAGTGAGTTTGACTGTCATTACGACGAGTTCAGGGAGGACGGTTTCATCTTCGCGGAACGAGATGATCTTCTGACTGCCTCTGAATTTACTGAAACAAGTGATATGACAGCCCTAGCTGCATTATTTGAGCCGGTAGCTTCAACTACTGGAAAAACTTGAGGATGTGTTTTGGTTTATTACTCTTTGATTGCTTCCTCAACCAGTCGCTAGATACCTTTGCAGCATACTCGCTTCTCAATTGGCTATCATCGAATTGGATCTAGTTCTTCTGAGTACCAAACAGACGAAATTAATGTAGACAGACATCAATGGCAAGGGAGATACTTCTGATCCCTGGTTGGGTCTACTACGCATAATGACATAGCTATGATACTTCCTTTGAAAAACACTACCACACTTGTAACCTCTATAGCCGCTATTCAGTCATCTACCGAGGTGCTAATGTCCATCAGAATACGTCAACCCACCTGAACATGGCCGATAAAGACGCCTCCAAAACCCCCAACACGAACACCATCTACTCCCAATCGCACCGCAGCCAAACCTACTCCAGCACCAACAACCCTCCTTCAGAAGAACACCCCCGCCGAGCCCTCAAGCCAGGCCTCTACGTTCCGCTCCTCGCCTTCTTCTCCCCGGAAACCGAAGAGCTCGACGAGTCCACAGTCGCGCGGCACGCCATACGCATGGCCAAAGCCGGAGCCATGGGCCTCATCACGCAAGGCACCTACGGGGAAGCCGCACACCTCTCCCACACAGAACGGGCCCGCATCACCCGAACCACACGCCACGCCGTCGCAGCAGCGGGGTACCCACAGCTCCCGCTCATCGCAGGCTGCGGCGCGCCGTCCACCAGCGAGACGATCGAGCTGTGCCAGGATGCGTTTGAGTCGGGGGCTGACTACGCGCTCATCCTACCTCCTTCCACCTACAAGGCGCAGTACACGCTTCCAAGCCTAAAGGCCTATTTCGAGGATGTAGCTGGCGCGTCGCCCATCCCGGTGCTGTTGTACAACTACCCTGCGGTGACGGGCGTGGACCTCGACGCGGAGACGCTTGCTTCGCTGGCAGGGCATCCCAATCTCGTCGGGTGCAAACTTACATGTAATGATATGGGGAAGCTGAACCGGGTTGTTGCAGCTGTGCAACCTGCGACGGCTGCGGAGCGGGGATCGGGGTTTATGTGCTTTGGGGGCTCGGCGGATGCGACGCTGCAGACGTTGGTGGGTGGTGGGTCGGGCGTGGTTGCGGGATTGGCGAATATTGCGCCTAAGGCCTGTGTGAGGCTAGTTGAGCTGTATCATTTGGGGGAGATGGAGGAAGCGAGGAGGCTTCAGGGGGTGGTTGCGAGGGCCGATCGAGTTGCTACGCAGGGCGGGGTCGGTGCTATCAAGAGTGCATTGAGAGTGTGGTTTGGTTATGGAGGGTATGCACGGAGGCCATTGCGGGGGACAGAAGCAGAGGAAAAGAACGAGAGTGGTGCAGAGGGGTTGAAGGAGGTGGTAGAGTTGGAGAAGCGGCTGTAGTGTATCTGAAGGGAACAATGTCATGTGTGATGGCCGATGAGCACATGTAATCGGAGTTGTGCATTTCGGTCACCGAAAACCCGGCAATCCTGGTCCGAAGCCACTGCTGGCATGATCATACGGTCAGTGTGTTCATGATGTCGGTCCTGACGAAGAATAGGCAATTTCCTGGGGTATGCCCAATAGGACTCTTGAGCATACAGGTGAGGATGGCAATGGCAGCAACAATCATGGTGATGGATCTGACGCAGAAGACCCGCATGCATTTCATCAACTGCTCGTGATTCTCAGTAGTGATGAGACATTTAGTTCTAGGAAACCAAGCTCGCCTTATCTCTTAGGACATCTTGTTTCATAAATCACACTGTGATTACATTGAAGGTAGATACATGGTTTCAATGGAGTGTGATCAAGGCGAAAACACTAAATGAGCCTTTTTAGCAGAAGAGGAGGGCTAATTAACCCTTTAGGTTCTTGGTTATGCATGCGCAGGAAGTTGTGGACCGGAATTGAATATAAGGTAGGCTAAAATCACCACTAATGTTGCTTGAGAAGGGAGCCTATTGGGCTAGGGCTCTGAAGCTAAAGTAAGACAATACATGCAGCAGGTCATTCCAAGTCTGCAGCTAGACCACATTTTCTTGTCACGCTTTTGAAAACTTGGCAGTACTGACGAAAGGGAGTGAAATTGGCGGCTCATTTGATTCACGAGGGTGAGGACATACCAGATGCAGAGAGCAGTCAGTCATATATATCTTCCTCCTGTATAGTCACTCCTCACAGTAGCACCTAGTAAATAGTACTAGATGGACTACTCCGAGACTACGGCTAGATTTATCAGTAGGATATATGAATCGTGGATGCTGAGAATCATCGCGTACCACTGACCATTTTTTATTCCTAAGCCTAGGGCTCCAGTAGTGGAGATATGTGGGCTGAAAAGAACGCTACAGCACTCTAGGGTGATTTTAGTTGTATATCTTGTCTTTGTTGTCGTCTAGATTGATTGCATCTAGTGCCGGAAATTTTTGAAGAAGATTTTACCCTGAAAAAAAAGCTGTAGAATCCTCTCATTCACAATATCTGTGTCAAGACTCTCCGTCTCAATCGAAGGAGCAGGGGAGAGAGTCAATGGCCCCACAATCCAGAACAAAAGGATAATACACCATCAGAGAGTACGCGACGCGACAAACAAACAAGGAGAAGAATGCAGTCTAACTCTCGAAGATAGGTAGTAGCTCGTATGCATTCAACTAAACCACGAAAATAATAAAATAGTTACGCTGTCCGCCGTTGAACTAGGAATGATAACAACGCCACATCGGACCGATCGGACAAATCCGTTTGCTCCTACGGACTAAACCTATAGTAGTACCAAAGCTAGTTTGGCAGTCGGACGGAAATGCGTCAGTCTTTTGCCAGGAACTCCATCCCTCTTTCGATCCTTACAAACATCTCTCCCTCCCCTCTTCTGTCTCCTCACTTCTTGAAATACCCATTCATTGTCGCGTCTCTTTTCATCTCATTATACTTTCTCTTGTCACGTCCTTTTCTACTTCACCTACCTTCTGCTTAGTCCTCGTCCGATGGTGTGCTTGGTATCTGCCACACCTCGGTAGGTCCCGTCAGCCTTATTCAATCAGCATCATCTATCTCTCTCTACCGATCGCGCCACTGTGCGCGTCGCAAGGCTACAGCAATCATGGGCCTCTCAAAAACGAACAGGATCTTGATCCTGCTGGTCATTGACACCGCATTTTTCCTCCTGGAATTAATAGCCGGTCCGTCCGCTCTCGTCACCATGCGCAAGATGTGTCTTTTGGCTGATGCCATTCATAGGTTATTCGGTTCATTCGCTCGCTCTCGTGGCCGATTCCTTTCATATGGTGAGCCCTTGATTCCGAAGATACTACTTAAGATTATGAATCGCATACTTACTCGGTGAAGTTGAATGATGTCATATCGTTATTGGTCGGATTATGGGCTGTCAAGGTTGCCAATCAGGAAACGAAGTCGAAAATGTACACCTACGGGGTAAGATCTTCCCATATCTTTCGCCTATGCGATCAGATCAACAAGAGCGAGGCTGATCTTTTTCTCTGTAACAGTGGCAACGTGCGGAAACCCTCGGTGCCTTGGTGAACGGTGTCTTCCTCGTCGCCTTGTGTTTGTCCATTTTCCTCGAAGCAATCCAGAGACTCGTCGAGCCACAGGAAGTGAAGAATCCGAAGTTGGTTTGCATTGTTGGATGCTTGGGCCTCCTATCGAATCTACTTGGTCTCCTCCTCTTTCATGAGCACTCTCACGGCCATGGACATGGACATGACCATTCGAACGAAGATATCGAAGATGTCGATGCAGCGGAACAAGGGCTTGCTCATGGTCATGGGGAAACTACTCTGGCGGACAAGCGGGCTTCTACAGTCACCGTAAATTACTCCCTATCCCCTATCTACGTTCGTCTGGCTAACTGAAGTAAAAGCGCGACGATGCAAACGGTGGTACCGAACCATCTTCTCCTTACTCACGAAAGCGCCGAACTCTGGACTCTCAACGCAGTTCTCGTCGGTACAGCACCGGGACCGGGCGTGGTATCTTGGGTGTTGAAGACATTCAAGTTCACCCAGCTACGATGAGACAGGAGATCATTGCTGCCAGTCGGAATCGCTTCGACGATGTGTCTTCCGAATCGGACAGTGACCAGCGAGAATATGACGACGGGGACGGTCAGCCGTCGGAGCGAACGAATCTTCTTGGCAGCAAGGACAGAGCGACCAACTACACCGATGAGAGCGATACAGCGCACAAGCGGCAAGAACCCACAGGTGATGACGACATCCACCAGTCCCACAACCACGCGCAACCAAAGCCCAAGGAAGGCAAGCATAATCACGCACACGGACACGATCTTAACATGCGTGGGGTCTTTCTTCACGTTATGGGCGATGCGCTTGGCAATATCGGTGTGATCGTTTCGGCTTTAATCATTTGGCTGACCAACTACTCATGGCGGTTCTACGTCGATCCTGGTATCTCTCTGGTGATTACAGTGATCATCCTTGCATCTGCGATTCCGCTCTGCAAGGCCGCGTCTCGCATCCTTTTGCAAGCAGTGCCTGCAGGATTGAGTATTGATCACATCAAAGAAGATATCGAGCGTCTTCCTGGCGTCATCGGATCTCATCACTTGCATGTGTGGCAACTCAGTGACACTAAGCTTGTTGCTTCGATCCACATCCAGGTGGACACGGAGATCAAGGGTGAAGGATCCGAGCGTTACATGCGTCTTGCCAGACAGGTTAGGAAATGCCTACATGCTTATGGAATCCATTCGTCCACCATCCAGCCCGAGTTCGCCCCGGATAGCGATGCGGAGGACAATCAAGCGCTTCCTTCATCGTCTCGTGGAAGCAATGATGAACCCTCCGGGTCCAGCAAGCTGCCAAGTCTAGCCGCAAGCCTCCGAGAAGGAGATCCTCAGGCGTGTCTTCTTGAATGCGGCGAGGAATGCGCCCAAAAGGGCCAATGCTGCCCCAAGAAGTCGTAGATAATCGATTTGATCTCATGCCGATGTGCAATCAATTCATTATGATGTTTGGTCTGGCATTTTTAATACTGGTCTTTAAAAGCACGTTCTTCCGTTATCCCTTATTTTCCATACCCTGTCATTTGTATCATTGCGATATGTTATCTGGATGACTCCATCCTGCTCCTTATAGATCCATTCGGGCTCGGATGGTCCTTTTGAATGACCCATAATGGGTGACTACATCAGTTGACAGGCTTCAACTGCATCTTGGATGTCACTTTTAATGTCCCTAATATACATTCTTATCAACTGCAATGGAATACTTCTAAAGCTGATTTGCTTGCTTCTAATGATCCATGGGCTGATTAGGTATAAGCATGTGCCACATACTCCAGACGCCTTGCGCATGCAGTAGTTCGGCCCAGGAACCCTAGAACATCACATGATAGGCTTCACTCAGAGATAGCTCACTATCCATAAAGATTGGTCGCTACTTGCTTCTTCCAACGCTCTTAAATATCCATAAGGGATATAGCGGTTGAGATCAAGAACGCTTTCCCGCGTTATATCGAGCATTATCTAAAGCCCGTGCCTTGGGGGAAAGTCACCTGGTAGTAACCTGTTCATTTGCCTCTTTTTGAGAGAATATCAATAAATAATCCCAAGGACAAAAGTCCCTCAACTATGACATCACAATTAGATGATTCATTCTATGAGAACCGTCCCCTGCAGTCCCAGACAGCTCGAACGTTCTTTTGGTCCTCGGCCAGGAACTTCGCTATATGGATGGCCTAGTCAAGGCGGCCTATACGTACTCGAGAGCTGCGATGGAGCTCCAGCTCGACCGGTTCAACGTCACAAATCGAGCTCAGAACCCGGCCGAAGAGGACGCGTATTGCGCTAACATGCGCAAATTAGGTGCCACCTGGTTTGAAAGCGAAGAAGCTTATATGTTGTTGGCCCTGCAGCATTCTAGGCCGCAGAAGCAGGTTCTCTGAGCAGCAGAGGCCTAGGCAGGATTCAGAATGCTCTTAGTATGGAGGAAGGGTGTGGGTAATTGAGAAGTTGGGTGGTATTGTCTATGCTGATCCGAAGGATTGTGATATGGCGCTCCCAACCAAAAATACTATGATCGCTCTTTTGGGTTTGGTCTATGAATATGTATCTGAGCTAAAAGGATTATCCGTACATATTATGACAGATATACAGAACCATCTTAGCTCCGGGTGTCAATTCAGTGATTGTTATCACCCTACATTGTCACCCCACTCAACTCCATCACCCCGGTTGTGGGACCTCTGGGCGGCACTGCTCACCTACTAAATCAGGAATGGCAATGGCCTTGGCGGCCGTAGCTTTTTGCCGCTAGGTACTATTATTGTCACCTGAGATCTCCTTAACCACGACAACGATGGCTTAAACGTTGCCAACCACAGCCTACCTCACTTGTTATTTTCCGACATTTCATCCTACTCATCAGTTACACTCCTTTACTTTCCTTTTTTGCAGTATGATACTCTTATTCATTTGAAGCGCCAAAACCTTCTGTTTCACTTCGTGTCGTCGAGTTTCGAGCAATGCGGCCTATACACTAAGCCACCTACTGTTATCTCCTCGACTCAACAACACAGCCATGAGCTACTCCTATCCGCGCAGTGACAGTGCCCATGCGTATCGACCGTCCCGCCGCGATCGCTTCGCCGAACCTACCAATCTTCACGAGCGTCTAAACCAAGCGCTACCGTTGTGGGCCAGAACATGGGTTACGAATCTACGCGAAGGGAGAATGCCTGCAGCACTCAGCGAGGCCAAAAATGATTATAATGGAGCTGGACTTCAGAAGATCTGCTGGCGATTTGTGAGGCGTGTGTTTAGTGTGCCGACCGCCTTGATACTCTTGTGGGTTTTGACGTTGTGGTGGGGAGAACGGACTGTTTTCCAGGAGAGTCTGGACAACTGTGTCTGGGACAAGTGGGAGAAGTGGGTTAGTGATCTTGACGTATCTCTGTATTGATGGAGTGCTAACTTTCGGTAGCCCCGAGATGCCACGCCGCATCGTGTTGTGTTTATAGCCGACCCTCAACTTGTCGATCCCCATACATACCCCGGTCGGCCATGGCCGCTTTCGACCTTGACGGTCAAGTACACGGACCAGTATATGCGCCGCTCTTTTACATCTATCCAAAGAAAGCTAGGGCCCGACTCGGTCGTATTCCTTGGTGACCTGTTCGACGGAGGGAGGGAGTGGGGAACATCATCTACGACTAGCCCTGAGAAGCGTTATCAGCAATACAAGGATTCGTTCTGGAAGCAAGAATATCATCGATTCGTCAAGATCTTTTCAGATCAGTTTCATGAGGGTGACGGACATTCCACGGAGCCGCGAGGTCGACGGATGATTGCCAGTCTACCGGGCAATCATGACCTGGGCTTCGGGTCGGGTGTTCAGGTGCCCGTCCGCGACCGGTTCCAGTCATTCTTTGGTCAAGGGAATCGTGTTGACGTGATTGGGAACCACACATTCGTATCGGTCGATACGGTTTCCTTGAGCGCAATGGATCAGCCCGATCCGCGGACGGGCAGCTCCGGGACTGGAGCGGGGGATGGAGAGCAGCCTAATGAGCATATTTGGAGGGAGGCGAAGGACTTCCTCGATGAAGTACCTCGGCATATGGCGAAGGCCGAGACGGAGGAACTGCTTATGTTGCGCAATGAGACTCAAGCGAGCAAAGGCCGTCTCTTCAAGCACGATGCTGTGAAGGTGTTGGAAAATGCGGTCGCCAAGGAACCGCAGTGGGAAGCTCTTGGTCTTCCAACGGTTCTCTTGACGCATGTGCCGTTGTACCGCAGGCCGGCTACACCGTGTGGGCCTTTCAGAGAACGCTATCCTCCCTCCTCGGATGGGGAGCTCGAAGAGGACGAGCCGAACTCATTGAGGCTTGGTGGAGGCTATCAGTACCAGAATGTTTTGACACAGACCATCTCAAAAGATCTGGTTTCCAAGATTGGGTCCAATCTGGTGCAGGTCTATTCTGGCGATGACCATGACTACTGCGAGATTTCCCACCGCGAGTTCAGTGGCTCACCCAAGGAGATTACCGTGAAGAGTCTCAGCTGGGCAATGGGCGTCCGTTACCCTGGCTTTTTACTCACCAGTCTCTGGAATCCTATTGATCTGACAACGGGGAAGCCGAGTGAGCGTGCTTCGTCCACGATCCAGAACCATCTTTGCCTCCTCCCCGATCAGCTGGGCATTTTCATCCACTACGGACTTCTTTTTGGATTTACGTTTACCATCCTTCTCATCCGGGCTATTGTTTTAGTGCTGTACTTCCCAAAGCCGAACTCACCCGATCTTTTCCTACCTCTCTCCGAACAAGACTTGCACAGCTCTTCACCATCGATCACCTCCATTCCCCCATCCTCCAGTACGTCCAGCTCTACACTTCCGTCACCGCGCGGTCTGGCCAGTCGCGCTGTGAATGCACCACCCCGGCCCAAGCCCTCCCATGATGCTTACCCAGGACTAGCAGAGTACGAGGCCGAGCAGAACTCCAAGTGGAGACCGCCGAGCGATGAATATCGGCGGAAACACGGGGCAGGCCGCTCGACTCTTGCCAGGATCAGAAGGGAGCTAATTGGTTCGGTGCAGTTTGTGGCCAGCGTCGTGTTGGCATGGTATTTCTTTTTGATCTGGCGGTGGTAATTTTAGTGGGTCGGTCAACCAAGCTATCTTAATAAAGTATCTTGTTCAGGCATGGTATAACGATATTGACACGAGGTAATAAATTTATACCTACAAACCAGTTTCATCCTAGAGGACAACCCTAGCAATTTCAGTTTGAGTGGACGTAGAAGTGAACATCACCTTTTAACATCTTTTCTTGGGTCTGGTTACTTGACTAGACACTTGGAACTCGAGTCAGCATTTTGAGTTCAGTGGAAATTAATGATCAGCAAGGTTCGTGGTGGCGGCAAGAAACCTCTTAATAGTGTTTGGCCTTGATGATCCTGATTCTTGGTGATTCTTGTTTTGTGGCTTGAGGTATTCCAATTTACGGTTACCGAATATTAAACTACGTGTCAGTGGGAAGAAAATAAGAGACCACGAGGAAGGGATGGGACAGGAACTGTGTACCATCAATTGGGATGTCAATTGAGAGGAATATGAAAAATGTGATATCCCTTGCTTTGTAGGGTTACACCCCAGGTGGGGAGCCTGCAGTAGTCTTTTGTGAATGAGTGATTTACGGAAATCAGAGAGACATATTAGTCTAAGGACTATTCTCAAAGTGATCAAGCCAGCATACTACCTCTCGAGAGGCAGACTGTTAGACATTGACTTGAAAAAAAGCCATGGTATCTTACTGTATCCTGATAAAACCAAATCCACAATTTTCGTGGCGCAGGAAAAGACAAAACAGTTGAATCCATGGTTGAGGTTCTGTTTGTTTCTACTTTCTCATTATTATTCAACCAGTTTCTGACTGCTTCAGATTGATCCAGATCGTGTCTGTTATTAGACTGAATTATTGTTACCTAAGTGTATGAACAGAAATTGAAAGTTTACAGAGAGTCCCCGTTTTGCCCCCCATCCGTACTGTAAGTCTGAAAGCATGTCAGACGGCCGCAAGCAAGGGGGAATTTGCCTCGAGGCCCCAGACTAGAATCGACTGTCGGATGCGAGAATATTCTCTCAGTCTCAAGCTGGCAGCCTAGACTACTAGATACCAACAAGACTTGATTTCCCAGTAGTCAAGCCAAGCCACTGAAATAATTTTCACTTGGCAATTAAGTTATTTTGGGTTTCTATTATTACGTACAACTGTGAAAATTGGATGTTTAGCCGAAAAGAGGCCGGGATCGTGCTGGTGTAAGTGGCCCGAATTGGACCACGAGGGGGCCGACAATCATGCCCGATTCCGGCATCTCCAGGTTTTCTTCCCGACTCCGGTGTTGCTCTACACCTCACTTTAGAAACACCTCTCCAGGTCCCGCATTCGGCCTTCTCTCGCTTATTCTTCCCCAGTCAGCAGAACAGAATTAACCAAACAGTACGAGTGCAGACCGTCTCACTTTGACTCTAATTCGGGCCACACATGGATGATGCCGGTCTCAAAGTGTACACCGGCGGGAAGTTGGCACCGATCAGGCCTTCAGGGGCCCCTAATTAAAAAAAGGAAAAGTCTATCCCGCCATCGACGTAGCTGATCAACCCCAACAACCAATGAACCATTCGGTGTTCCCGACCCGAGTGGGTTTCTGGAATTTGTCTACTGCACCGACTATTTGTTTTTTCTGTCTCAGCTGCGGTCTAACCTTGGTGCCACCGGCCAATGAAGCCTCAGCACCTCGGACTACTTCCCCATTCCGAGTGCAAACGGCCTCGTGTGTGCCCTCCAGTCCCCACGGGCTGCAGACCGTTTCGGCATCCCATACGGTGACCTCCTCCAGTCCCCGTTTTCCTCCAGAGAAACTCCGGACTCCAGACTCCAGACACGGCCGGGATAGTGGAGTCCAAAATCCAGACACGCAGCTGACTGCTGTGACGCTGTCCCGTGGAATGGCCGTTGTTTTGAAAAAGCTGCGCCAGGAAGCTGATTGCGGCCAACCAGCAGTCGTGCCTTTCGTCTGTGGATATGGCGGGGTTATCCCCAGGCCGAGGGACCCCAGGTTCTCCTTTTCACTCACGTTGACTCTCACGAGGCCGGTTGGGAGTATAAAATCTCCTCGCATACCCCGGGTGATCGTCAATTCCTTGACCTCTTCCTTCTCCCCCATTACATCCTCGACTGCCACTGTGTCATTGTTTCAGGATATCTTGTTTCCCGACGAGACTTCCATACTCCAATCCTCTTGATTGTTGGTTATATCACTTTGTCCTTTGCACATTACTAGACTAGGTTTTCATCATGGGCTTCATGATCAGAAAGCCCGACGATGCAGTGGGCTCTGCGGCCCCTGCCATCATCATTGGTTTGTTCGTTGCGTTTGGTGGTATTCTGTTCGGGTAAGTCTCTCGGCCTCATTGTCCTTAGCACAACAGCTGACCAGAGGACTGCGCATAGCTATGATACCGGCACCATCAGCGGCATCCTTGCCATGCCGTACTGGCGCAAGCTCTTCTCCACCGGCTACATCAATCCTGACGACAACTATCCGGATATCACATCCTCTCAATCGTCGATGATCGTCTCCCTGTTGTCTGCTGGCACTTTCTTCGGAGCTCTGGGCGCTGCGCCTGTTGCCGATTACTTTGGACGACGCCTTGGTATGATTATCGACTCGGTCGTCTTCTGCGTTGGTGTCGTTCTTCAGACCGCCGCCACTTCGATTCCGTTGTTCGTCGCTGGCCGATTCTTCGCCGGATTGGGCGTCGGTCTTCTTTCAGCGACTGGTATGTTACTCATCTTTTGTCCATCCTGATGGCCGTGCACTGACAGGACCAGTTCCCTTGTATCAATCCGAGACAGCTCCCAAGTGGATTCGTGGTACCATCGTCGGAGCCTATCAGCTGGCCATTACCCTTGGTCTGCTGATTGCTGCTATTGTGAACAACGCCACCAAGGACCGTATGGATACCGGCTGCTACCGGATTCCAGTCGCCATCCAGTTTGCCTGGGCCATTATCCTGGTGACTGGTATGCTGGTTCTTCCAGAAACCCCGCGTTTCCTGATCAAGAAGGATAAGCACGAGGCCGCCGCTAGGGCTCTAGCCCGCCTTCGCCGCATGGATGTCAACGACCCAGCCATCGTTGAGGAATTGTCCGAGATCCAGGCCAACCATGAATATGAGCTCAGCATGGGTACCGCCAGCTACCTCGAGATCCTTCGCGGCTCCATCGGCAAACGTTTGGCTACCGGTTGCGGTATCCAGGCTCTGCAGCAGTTGGCCGGTGTCAACTTCATCTGTATGTACTCATCAACTCTTTACTGCTCGTACTTTTGCTAACTTGTCAGTCTATTACGGAACTACCTTTTTCAAGGCCTCTGGCATCAGCAACCCCTTTATCATTACTCTCATCACCAACATTGTCAACGTGATGTCTACCTTCCCCGGTCTCTACATGGTTGAGAAGTGGGGTCGTCGTCCTCTGTTGATGTTTGGAGCTATTGGTATGTGTGTCAGCCAGCTTATCGTCGCCATCGTTGGCACTGCAACCTCTTCCGACGTGGCCAACAAGGTCCTGATCGCCTTCGTCTGCATCTACATCTTCTTCTTCGCCTGCTCCTGGGGACCTGTGGCTTGGGTTGTGACTGGTGAGCTGTTCCCACTGAAGGCCCGTGCCAAGTGTCTCTCCATCACAACCGCCACCAACTGGCTGCTCAACTGGGCCATCGCCTACGCTACTCCTTACATGGTCAACAGCGGTCCGGGCAATGCCAACCTGCAGTCCAAGGTATTCTTCATCTGGGGTGGCTTCTGCTTCATCGCGCTTGTCTTTGTGTACACCTGCATCTACGAGACCAAGGGTCTCTCTCTCGAGCAAGTCGATGAGCTTTATGGCAAGGTCTCCAAGGCCTGGCAGTCTAAGGGTTTCGTCCCCACGGTCCACTTCACCGACGTCCGGGATGTGGCCGAGGGACACCGGAAGGCCAGTCTCTCCCAGCTTGAGGCTGACGCCCAGGAGAAGCACAAGCTTGAGCATCTGGAGAAGGCGTAATCTGTTTTTCCTCTTATCTTTGGAAGCATGCATATTTGGTTTACTGGCGGTTATTACGGCGCATATGGAGATACCTGGATTTTGATGACTGATATGTTAGATGAGTAATAGATCATTAGATCATTCTTGAAATTTTTTACATCGTATCCATAAGTATCCATAAATCCTTCAAGTAGGTTCCTCGATGATCGATGACACCTGAGGCGCGCACACGCTCACCATAACCCGTGGACGCCTCAGGCTGGGTCAGGCACTATGAGCGCATGGCTGGGAAGACGAAATATGATTGGCTGCCGGGCTGAACAACGGGCCCGCTCTCCAAGTTTCACATGGAAGGCCCTGAGCTTGTTCTGAAACCGGAATCAGCAAGGAGTCCGTGCGCAATCTCGTCGATATATTCAAGCAGGATGACCAAATCCCGGGTCAACGTTCACAATGACCTCTTATGCGCCACTCGTTCATCTGTGTTTTCGCTTCACCCATTCTTGACCTTGCAAATGGCAAAATGAGGCCTTTTCCAGTCTTTACTACATCAACTCCCCCCTGACACCATGTCGATGGTATCACGCATTGCAGAACGGCGCGCCAGCCTCGATCCCACGCAGGAAGCTGAAGATGGTACAATACACAATCGGTCCTCGAGGATCCTCCTCCACAGTGACCCGCAACCCATCGACGTCCGACCTCCCACGCCCAAAGCAACGGGCAACCTCCTCCGCTCCAGTCCCGACGTGGAGCTACGGAACCTGAGGACCAGTCGCGAAGACGAAAAGGTCGAGTCAGCAGTGACTGCATTGGTGGCGGACGAAGTCCTAGGGGACACGCAAACGCAATCGCAGCCGCAGCAACAGCACCACCCCGACACCGCTTTTTCGGAACACCCGCTGTTCCCGCCGCTTCCCTCGTACAGTCCGCCTTCGCTTGCGCTCACGGTGCGCTGCGTAGCTCTGCGGTGTGTTTCGTTCGTTCTGTCGCTGTTGTTTTTGGGGATTGTTGTGATCGGTGCGCTTCTGGGTTTCGTAGGGACCCGGCTGGAGAATCTGTGGATGAGGATTAGCGGTGAGGATCCCAACGCGCGGCGGAAATTCTATGCCGAGGAGCGCGAGCGGCAGTTGAGTCGAGAGGAGGAGCTTCGGAGGTGGAAACGGCGACAGGCGAAGAGGGATGTTGACGAGGAGGCGCCGGATGAGTGTCCGCCCTTGGAGGGCGGGAGGGACTTGCTTGTTTGTGATGTTGGGTATTATGCGCGGAGGGTGGGACTTGACGTGGAGACGTTCAAAGTCCAGACGGAGGATGGGTTTATTATTACGTTGTGGCATGTTTATAACCCGCAGGAGTATACGCCGTTGTCGGAAAAGGAGAGAGGGCCGCGAGGCCCTGACGTGTTTACTGGACGAAGGGCGAATGCTTCCGGTCGAAACCGCCGGTACCCTGTTCTGCTGGTTCATGGGCTGTTGCAGAGTGCTGGTGCTTTCTGTGTGAATGACGATGACAGTCTGGCTTTCTATCTTTGCAAAGCGGGGTACGATGTCTGGTTAGGCAATAATCGCTGCGGGACGACGCCGGAGCATACAACGCTATCGGTCGGCGATCCACGGATGTGGACGTGGAACATCCGGCATATGGGCGTGCTGGACTTGACCGCGCTTATCTCGCGGGTACTGTTTGAGACCGGGTTCGAGAAGCTGGGGCTTGTGTGCCACTCGCAAGGCACCGCGCAGACATTCGTGGCGTTATCCAAACACCATCGCCCGGAGCTGGGAGACAAGATATCTGTATTTTCTGCCCTGGCGCCAGCAGTATATGCCGGGCCTTTGATCGAGAGATTGTACTTTCGATTCATGCGAGTCATACCGCCGGACATATTCCGGACTATTTTCGGCATCCACGCATTCATTCCGATCATGATGACGGTCCACCGCTTCCTCCATCCTCGCATCTACGGAGTGTTGGGGTATTATGTCTTTGCGCACCTGTTCGGCTGGAGCGACGTCCGCTGGGATCGCGGACTGCGCGACCGCATGTTCCAATTCGCACCGGTGTATATCAGCAGCGAGACGATCCGGTGGTGGCTGGGTCGGGGCTGCTTCGCGACGCAGCGGTGCATTCTGGCGACAATGGAAGACACCCTTGCCGAGATGGAGGAGGATCTCCGTTTGCAACGCGACGGAGACCAACCGGGCTCGCGGACCGACACCGCCTGGTACGGGCCGCGGACGCCCCCGTTTGCGCTGTGGGTTGCCGGGTCTGATGCGCTGGTCGACGGGCGGCGCCTCCTTCAACGGTTCCGGAACGGACGCGAGCCGCATGTCCAGGTCGTACACTCCAAGGTGATTGAAGAGTATGAGCATCTGGATGTACTGTGGGCCATGGATGCGGTGGAGCAGGTGGGTAAGGAGGTGCGAGATGTTATATACATGACCATGCCGGAGGAAGCGCGGAAGTACTGTCGTGTTCCAAAGGGTGTTTCATGACACAGGCAATACATTAATGACTGACGGCGATGAGATATGATTGCTTTACTTCGATGTTCAATAGATATTGCATATATACAGCATATCCTAATTCATAGACTATAGCTATACCTGCCAGTCACGTCATCCCCGTCAATACAGGCAACCACACAAGAATGCAATTGACACAGCTGCCTAGCGCCTGATCACATAACGGACTAACCTAGTCTTGCTACAAGGATTAAAGCATACGTACACCCAATATATATCCAGCATCCCGCGCACCTCCATTTCCCTCAGCACAAGAGGTACAGTAGGACATGTCCTCGTGCGGGGTAGGTAGGCTACCATCGCATCGCCACCTATTTCAATTCTAGAATCGACATCATACCAACGGTGATCTCCATACTCATGCTGTAGCATACCTATCCTATACTCGCAGTATCACCTCGCAGAAACTGGAAACCGGAAATAATGTAGCCTACGAAGCGAGAGCGAAGTGGAGATCCTGCAGGGGTGTATCTATTCTTGGTAGCGGGTGGGACTCGTCGTGCGGGGATATGAAGTACTATTCCTACCGTTGCTATAGTATACAGTGTATCCAATTCTATAGTATGGCTACTGTAGTACAATAGTAAGGATGTGGTGACGTGCTGGGTAAGTGCAGGCCGTGCTGCAGTGCAGGTGGAGAGCGGCTTTTGCATATACCGGTGTTCTATGGTTATGGTTACCTATATTTTAGTATCGGGTTCGGAGGAGGCTTCCGTACAGAGTTAGGATGGGACGGGGTGTTGTCAGCTTGGCTTAGCTTGGTGCTTGGCTGGCTTGGTTGTCTTGAGTTGAATTGAGTTGAGACAGTACTTGTGCTTATGTTAACGTTTGGTTATAGTACTTTGGTGATATGTGTTGTTGGTGTTGAGTACAAAGTACATGTGTATACTACTGGGATCAACCTGGATAAGGTACTGACTGGTACTGCAGGTATCGACCGATATTTCTGTCCTACCTCAGAACAAGAAATAGTCCCACTGTTGTCAGCTGTCACATTCTTGATTCTAGAGGCTATCTAACCCCTCAAGCGGCCCATTGGCCTGCAATGTTTTCCCTCCCCCCCACCAGACTGGTCCACTGCCTGTCTGATATCCTGAAGGTCTTCTCTCATGAGGGGTAACAGTCGCCAGTCGAAACGCATGGACCGGACTGAACTGGACAGGTAGCATCCGTCTATCGACTCCGGTGAGGGGTACAGACTGTCGAATTCGACCCTCTTCTTCTCCTCACTGAAATGTGGTATATAAGGGGGTCAACTCACGCAGCAAGTCCAGTTTGAGCCGAATCAGCAGACTCCACAATGAAGTCAATCCACATTCTGCACGCCTTTCTTCTTGTTCTCCCCTGTGCCAATGGAGCTCCCACAGCCCAGCCTTCCAATCCTCCATTGAGAGGCTCGGAGGATCTGTTGGGTTATTCCTCCTCCAATACCATCACGGAGCAGTCGACCGAGGTCAAGTATACCCCGGTGACTGGGCAAAAGGACGATGCCAATAACGGGGTGTATCTTGACTTTGAGGGCGTGGACAATCCCCAGCCTATACGGGGGAATCTGGGAGGGACGGACCCGGGACCGAGTATGTTGCTTGTGCAGCATGAAAGGACGCTGAAGTGCTAACGTCGGTAGGGAATACGTACTATGATCAGATCAACAGTGATAAGCTGGCTCCTCCTGGGACGGATCATGGTCAGACGATCAATGCGCAGTGGCCAATGGGTATGTCTTTACCTTGGGTCATAGTACGTATGCTAACTTATCACAGGACTCAGTCATAACAGGTAGGTTTGTCCTCTCGGATTGAAGGAGGTAGCTTATGAAGTAGACTCGGCCACGATGGGGCTGGATGGGCCCGACAGGAGAATACCAACGTCATGCCGGACGCAACAGCCATGGCAGGTGTAAACATGAGGCTTGAGCCCGGCGCTTATCGGGAGCTGCATTGGCATGTTGCTGCGGAGTGGTCGTTGGTCCTCAATGGTTCCTGTCGTATCCAGGTATGTTTTCCTGTCTTGTCGTCGATGTTGCTGACCGTCAGGCCGTCAACGATAATGGCGAAACGTTCATCGACGACGTGAGCGAAGGTGATGTCTGGTTCTTCCCTCCGTATGTCCAAGTCACACCTCACACCTTCAATGGACAAATATGCTAATCCGCTAGGGGCGTTCCTCACTCCATTCAAGCCCTCGACACAGGCGTCGAATTCCTCCTCGTCTTCGATGATGGATCCTTCTCCGAGGATAATACCTTTCTGGCCTCAGAAGTCTTTGCACACAACCCCAAAGAAGTCCTCGCCAAAAACCTGGGTGTCCCCATCACCGCATTCGAAAACATCCCCGAAGACGAACTGTACATCTTCCCCGGCACCCCAGCCCCCAAGGACATCGAGGCCCAAAACGTCTCGACGGCAGCCGGCATCGTCCCCAGAACGCAGAGCTACTCGTACCACTTCTCCGAGCAGCCCGCCCACGAGGTCGCCGGCGGATCAGTCAAGATCGTCGATCCCGCCACCTTCCCCATCGCCAGTAACTTTTCTGCTGCCGTCGTGACTGTCAAGCCGGGCGGGATGCGCGAGATCCACTGGCATCCGAGCAGCGATGAGTGGACGTTTTTCATCCGCGGCCAGGGCCGGGCGACGCTGTTCTCGGCACCCAGTACGGCAACGACGTTTGACTACCGCGCCGGGGATGTGGGCTACTTTCCTCAGTCGAACAGTCACTATATCGAGAACACGGGGGACGAGGATCTGTTGTTCCTTGAGGTGTTACAGGCAGACAAGTTCACTGGTGCGTAACCGCCTTTCCACTCTGTTTTTTGAGTCATGCTAACGTATACAGACATCGCACTAGGGCAATGGATTGCATCTACGCCGCGGCAGATCGTGGCAGATACACTGAAGCTGAGCAATGAGACCTTGAGCAAGTTGAAGACGGAGAAGCAGTATGTTGTTGCTGGATAACGGATAACGTACATAACAATCACATGTCATCATGCATGACCATAGTCAACAAATCAAGGCGCATACGGCGGCGGCAGCTCCGGCTCCTCATCACTGACACTGGACTTATCATCGTCCTCTGACTCGCTCTCCTCCTGTAGAACCTTGTAATCAAGCCTCTCAACCTTTTGATTTGCATCTGGGCCGACAGCCTTGCCCTTCTTACCCTTCTAGCAGCATATCAGCATAAGCATAAACCAACCCCAGACCAAACAAAATAGAAGAAAACTTACATCCATCTCCTCAAAAACCACCTCCCCCTCCCCAACCTTCCCCACCAACCTTCCATTCTTCCAAACCCCAAATCTCAACCTCATCCCCTTAAACTCCGTCCCGATAACCACACACTCACTCACCTCGCAATCCGTCAACACCGCCCTCTTCACTCTGCTCTTGTACATGTCCACGCGGTCCAGCTTACTCCGCCGGAGAAGAGAGTGCTTCACGCTCGAATCCACAACGGTGCTCCGCCGGACGGCGCTATCGCTTATCGTGCTGGCGCGGATCTCGCTCCGTCGCAGACGGCGGATATTCGAGAGCGAGGAGTTGCTTGCGTCGAGTGAGCGGGCGGCGGGGACATTGAGGAGGGTCGTGTTGGTTAGGGTGCAGCGGCGGGTGGAGGAGTTGGTTAGTGTGCAGGATTGGAGTTTGCTGCGTTTGATGCTGATGCTGGCGCTGCTTTTAGCATCAGCTGTCCTGGCGATGGAGGTGTTTTCCACTGTGGAGCGGAATATGGAGTCTGCGGGGGTGAGATTGGTGAAGGTTGTTTTGGTGGTGGTGGAGCGGGTGATGGTGGGGGAGGAGGGGGTCGTTTCAGTAAGTGGTTTTGTCATTTTGCTGGTGTCTTGTCTGTTGTCTGTTGTTGCTATGTTGGATGAGGATGACCGAGAAGGTAGATGATAGTGAAGATATGTGCTCCGGAAAATGGCTGCCTGGTTGCTGACGGTCCAATCCCAGCAAGAAATGTATGTTGCGACTGGCTATTCATTGTTTGTTACCGAGGTGGCTGTGGTTCTATTATTATTAGTGCCACCATTACTTGTACCCAGTGAGGATATCCCTGTCTTCGGATATTATCACTAAGTCTAGTTTTAGCTAACATAAGGTTCACTTGATATGCTCTGTATTGGCGTAGAAGAATATCTTGCTTAACAGCCCAACTGATATTGAGGGAACAATGAGAATATTCTATTATATTCAAATATCCGCCAAACAGACATCGAAGGCAAGATGGCCGAGTTGGTCTAAGGCGTGAGGTTAAGGTACACCTTAATACCAAACTCCCAGAGTTTCCTCATCATCGTATGATGGCGTGGGTTCGAATCCCACTCTTGTCAGATACTTTTTTTGCTTCCTACTTTTTTCCTCTTTATCAGCAACCCCACGCCCCGCAATCTCCACACCAGCTATTATGACGGACGACTACTGTGAAGATGCTTGATATTTCTCCACCACTCTGGTGGATGCTCCATGCCAAGATGGCTAGCTAATTTTCCGTTTGACATTTCTCCGTCTGCGTAGGGGTCTTGGCTCTCCTTTCTCCGGCCCGAGGCAATATAAACAATCCTCAAGATGTCTTGGGAGTTTCTTGGAACCTGGTATAAGAGCGAGAGGATTGCGATCCTTCTTCCCGCAGGGTTGTATATGTAGAGTAAGATAGTGTCACACGAAATGATTTCAATCAGCAAATCTGCGCTGCTCGTAGCAGCCCTGAGCGGCCTCTCCCAGGCGGCCAACTATACCGAATGGATGGCCTCGTCCTTCATGACCAAGAACATTTCCCTGTCCCGCAACTACGCCAATGGCGTCCTCTACACCGGTATGGAGTTCGCCTATAACAAGACCAAGGACGAACGCTACTTCACCTACATCAAATCGCAGGTCGATGCTGTTGTCGACCCCTCCGGCGGGCTAATCAACTACCCCGGGTCAACCGTTTCGCTCGACGATATCCGCATTGGCCTCAACCTCCTTTGGCTCTGGACCAAGACGGGAGATGACAGGTACAAAATTGCGGCTGATACCCTCCGCGAGCAGCTTAACTTCACCCCACGCAACAAGGCGGGTGGGTTTTGGCACCGCAAGCCCACGTACCCGAATCAGATGTGGCTGGACGGGATTTACATGGCTGAGAACTTCTATGCGCAGTACACCGCGTGGTTCCAGCCAAACAATGCTACCGCATGGGACGACATCATGCTGCAGTTTGATCTGATCGAGGAGCACTGCAGGTTGGAGACCGGATTGCTGGTGCACGGATATGACGAGAGTAAAGTGGCAGTCTGGGCTGGTATGTCTCTGACAGGACTTTTTAACCTCACCGGATGATCCTAACACCATTAGACCCTGTTACCGGCGGCGCACCCCATGTCTGGGACCGCGCAGTGGGCTGGTACTTTATGTCGCTGGTCGACATACTCGACTACTTGCCACGATCGCATTCCGGCTATCAGAAGAATCTCCGTCGCTTCCAGTCCCTGGCAAAAGCCCTTAAGAAGACACAGGACAAGTCCGGTGGATGGTGGCTCATAATGGACGGGGAGTACCCGCGTGACCCCCGCAACTACATCGAGAGCAGCGGTACTGCCATGTTTGCGTATGGATTCCTCAAGGGCATTCGCAAGGGATATATCCGCTCCAAAGACTATATGGCTCCTGCGAAGAAGGCGTACAACCTCATGGTGGACAAGTTCGTGGAGAAGAATGCGAATGGCACGCTGAATTGGCTTGGCACAGTGCAGGTCGGCAGTCTGGGCAGCAATGGAACCTTCGAGGTGAGTACGAGCCTATATCTGATCCAAGAAAATAGTCTGACGGTTGTTAGTATTATATCTCGGTTCCCGTGGTGCAGGATGATTATAAGGGTGCTGGACCTTTCATGTATGCCAGTTATGAGATCGAGGCTGCTTCCAAACAATAGAGAGAAGGGATGACAGACCTTGCAAGACAAGGAAGCGCTCTAAAACTTGGCGGGATCCCTCGGACTCCGGAGCATTTAAATAGCCCAGATGGCTGAGTCAACTTTGAGTGACAGTGAGACATGTTCCTAGGATTGCGGACCTTTTTCGGAAAAGCGGGATGCCTGTGGCAGTGTCTGTGAGCCTGAGGAAGTTACGTAGGCTATTTTTGCCGAGAGGACATTGCACAAAAATATATGGCTGTCTGTGCCAAGGAGCCTCGAATGTGAGTCCATCACGGACTAATATACTGTAGCGTGGGATTAATCTTTGGAAAATAAACTCACCTGACCAGGGAAAATAGTGATGGTGGCGTCTGAGTTGAGGCCAAGAACCGAGGGGTAGATAGTATTAGAGCAAAGATTATATAGATATGAATCCTTCTAATCGAAGAGGAAGTGTGGGAGAAAATGGAATCAATCGCTGATTGTGCCTGGTCGACCTCAACTGAATGGGTGATTTGTTCGTCTTCCACCTAGCCCCCAACCAACCAAAGAGAAGCCTTGTCTCAGCTTGGCGCAGTGTTATGTTCACCTTAGATCACAGCCTAGTCCTGTGGATCTGTTGGTCAACCCTGCGTCTCTTTCCTTAGTATGATCGTAGAATAGCTTTTGGTAGGAATGACTAGGTTATAATCAAGAAAGTGCTCATCCAACTGACTACTTTCAGTCTACCAGTTCACTTTTAACAACCAACTCTACCACTACCGTGAATCTATCTATCCATTCATTCCATCATCAACCAACATTGATATAATAAGACAACAAGTTGTCAATATCATGCCACCTCTATCGAAGTTACGGGCCAGAGGAAGGCCAACGACTGACTACGAACGATGGCTCAATTTCAATCCCGAGGAAGATCCATCCTCTCCTCCAAAATACGGGCCAGATAGAACGCACCGCTATGTCGATGATTCGTCCGTCCGATTTGCTCCAAACCGCCAGCTCATGTTGTAGGCACCATCCTCCATTGCTATTGCTTGTGTCCGTCTAACAACCGCAGCAATGACCAGCGCCATATGCCATCCGGACATACCCGTCATCATCGAAGAATTGCACACTCGCAAGGACTAGTTCGAGGCATCACGTTTTTCTGCGCCGTCTTGGTAGTCATACTGGTCATGCGGATGTTCGTAGTCTCGCTCATTCGCGCATCCCGACGACGAAGAGACATCGAGAGACAGATACAAGAGGCATCCCAGCGACAACAAGACCCGAGAGTCTACGAGGATAACAATGAATTGAACGAACTGTGATTATTTTCTATCCTTCTTTTGCAATTCTCATCATATGCACGTGTACATCACAGCCGATGGAGCGATGGCCGCACGATGGCGTCCTCGCCAACCTCAGGGCAGACACCGAAGCATCGCATTACCTGACAGAGACTCGGCTCCCGAATTGCCGGGATATACTCACGCCGTGTTTCAGAGAATTTTCGTGGCGTCGCGTCAGACTTGGCCAAAGTAAAATCTCCAGGCAGCTGGATTCTTCTCAGCATGCATGTCAACGGCGAGGACTGGACTACATCACAGCCAAGCACTGTGAAACAACTGATGCAGTGCGTTATTCGCCGGAAGGCTTGTTCCTAACCTTATTGAGGTCAAGCTCAGAGTGAGCAATTCTTCGTGATTGGTAGTTGGTGGAGTTTGGATGATAGAACATAGTTGCCTAACTGCCTTGCTCCAGCATGCGTCGCACGCGCGGCACGACCACGTCGATCAAATTGGAGTGGAGATAGAAGGCAACAGGGCTCTGCATATTTTTGTCGATGACCCTGGTTATGCTAGAGATGCTGGATGTAGTCTCTTGCTGTTACGAACATAGGACTCTTTTTCTGGTTATATTCTCTATAGCAGATACTATTAAATCAAGGCCAAGCCCTTACAAACGGCTAGTAGTCTATCGAGAAGTCACACTGCAACTAGAATATTCACCTTTCGAAGTCAAACCTACAAAATAGATTCCTCCAAATGATATGCATGACAGCGAGTTTATCATCGAAAGGTGCTTTTACCATTCTGGGGAATTTCAACGCACTCCGCTCAAACTCATGGGCAGGGTCCAAATTAAACTTCGCAAGCTCAGTCTAACCAAATTACAATTAGCGAAGCAGACATGTCTCATTCCATCCAACTGGACGTGTTTGCAAGTGGACCCTTGTCTCACCGAATTCTACGTGTGAATGATGCGATAGACTGGTAGCCTTAGGGCCAGTCTAGTCAGAAGCGATCGATGGTGGACCCTGAGTCCCTGTGCTAGACTGCTCTTAGCAAGGCCTGCGACGGGGATCACCGATAACAGACCAGTACCGACTACCGAGGACAGGCACTAAATATTAATAGACTAAAGGTCTAAGCCACATTATATAGCAATGTATTAGCAAATAGTTAATGTAACCATGTCAGCGGTGATCTGACTAGTTCAATGTATGTAGTGGATGATTCAGGGGAAACTTTCACTCAAGTGCTGACTGCTGAGCTTGCTGTCATGTGATGACCTAGGGCCTTGTTATTATTATAGGTTACTAAGGAGAACTGAAGTGATCAGTCAATGCGTTTACTATTGGGTAATCCGAGCTGTTTTAATCGTGAGAAACTGATAGATTAGATGAGACAATTTAATACTTATAGATTTCACTTTATAAGCGAGTTTGCTATAAAAGAATGCTTATTAGTAGTAAAGCCTGTGCTTAAGCCTTGCTCAAAGGATTATTTTCTTCTGGCCTTTGTTAGTCGATCAGACACGATGGCCTTGGTAGTCGGTGCTATCCTTAGAGGAAGGAGACCCACAAGAATGATTCAAATTGTTGCTGTCATGGTGATACGGGTTCTTGTACTCTGCTTCGCACAGTAATACGCTCGATTCGGTCTCTGCGACAATGCGAGGCCAGGTTCACTAGCTTGGGTCGGTTTTCTTGCCAATTGTTAAGGAGCTCAGGGAGAGCGAGGATTGTCCGATACCTTGGCGTCAGATGGCCCACGACCGAACCACACCGTCGGCCGTGACCTGGTTCTGGTAGGAATAGTAATAACTATATCATGTCGCTGTTCGTGCCGGTTTTCAAATGCCACTGGTGCTAATCGATCTGTGTTTCGTTCAGATCCACCCGTGCTTGCTTGATAGGGACGAGGCGTGGCTCTGGTTGTGCTGACTGGTCCACAGCCTCTTCATCCGAGACTGTGATTGACCATCCGATGGTGAGAAAATTAATAGATAATGGACTTTATATAGCATTCCTCATCGTTGCTCTCTTCGTCGCTGCTCTCTTCCCTTGGGATGAACTTCTCCTCCCGCAGCTTCAAACAAGCAAGACCAGACACCCTTGTTGAGTTAGAGTCCACCCCCCAATCCCGAAAAGGATACTGCAAGGTTCGAAAAGCAGAAAGTAACTTGGATCGACGATCAGAGGCACGACTGACGTCCGAGCCAGCCCTGTTCAGTGTCTCGATACACAGATTTTGTGTGGGATCACTGCGAGAGCTGACCGGATGATCCTGTTCAACGTCTGGTCCACCTTCTGCAGAATAGTAGCAGGTGAATGGTATAGTCGCGGCCCGGATTGTCCGCCAATGATCGATGACCACCACATCGGCTTCCTGTATCGCCCGTTCGACCAAGGGCATGAACTCCTCTATATAAACTAGCGGGCCAAACTGTGGAGGCATATGGCCCTCCCAGCAGATCCAGTGCTGGCGTAGGCCTCCTAAAAGGCTCTCAGAAACTAGGTCATAGAGCATATTCATCCGCAGCCCTATCAGATTCATCTGAACCTGATCATTAACCCAGTGAGTCATGGGAGCGGCGTCGCATGGGAGATAATAGTGCTTGAAGATCCAATCCCCGCGAGGAGAAGTAGCTTGCACATAGGCAAGAGACGCAGGGGGCTGCTGCACCAACATCCGACGCCAACTTGCTTCGCGGCGGAAAAGTTTCTGGCGCCTCTCACTCGCCTCCGGCCCGGACAGCATCAGGTAGGTGCATTCTCTCACACCGGATGGGTCCTGGGGAGGGGGAAAGAAATTCCAAAATTCTTTCGCTAGGAGTGGATTACGCAACTTTTCGTGGCACTTCTCTGGTGGGATCGGCTTAAAGAACAGGGCCTGCTGTAGCCTTGGGGAAGCTTGAATGAGCCTGGCCCAGGAGTGACAAACTCGCTGGGCTGAGGTCAGCAGGGATTGAATATCAAGGTAAAGGAGAATATATTCGAGGAGCTCAGGTGCGGACAGGACGAGCCGTTGGCTCTCAGCCATAGTGAAGCACTGCTGGCAAGCCTGGCATTAACAATATGGCTACTCGGCATGGATTGTTTGCTGAATTATATGTGTTGGCATACGGCTAAACTAGTCCTTACACAGCTAGATCATTCACCTGACCTTCAGGGGTACAAATATCTAAGAAATTCAGAGGACAGAATCCACCTTCAAAACCATCATACCGGTACCTAGACATCCCGAGTGACTGCGTCAGTGTCCATCATGGAGGTTTTACTGACGCGCCATATGAAGATTACCACCGTATGTTGATAAAGGGAGACTAGCTCTGGTGGTTACACTCTCGAAATACAACAGGTTTGTGATACCACAGATGGCGACACCAAAGTAGCCAGGGTCAATTAGCCTTGAGATGTTATTGTTTCTGAGGTAGTGAATTTCACTGGCTTGCGCAGACATCATGTCCCTGATTGGTCGTTGGCCACCTCACAGCTGTGGACGGAGACAAATACCTCGGGCAACGAGCGCCTTCGCTGAAGCCGGTGGCTCGCACACACTCCGATGCCGGCGATATTTCACTCAAGCATCCTTGAAGTCATTATCGCCTCTCGGTTGGATGCTTTGATTAGGGTTCAAATACTGCTTCGCAGCCAGATGCGACATCCAAACTATATTGTGGCAAATACGGTCATACACATTTAGGAGAGTACAGAGAGTTGTCGAGGAAGTTTTGGAACACTCGTCTAGGTCTTCATGAAAGCGTACAGGCCCAGTCTCTACTATCCTTGGACGACGAGCGCTCGCGCTCGTTGATAGCCAAATGACTGGCACCCATAAATATAGCAAATTGTCCAGGGTAACGACGAATTGTGGTAAGATTGACAAATGCACTTGATTCATCGCTCTTTACTCACTGGGAGCGAGGAATTCCGTGTGCGGCTGTCAATGCGCCACTGGTGGATGTATGACATGTCATACACAGATGGGACTTGGCTGCCTGTACTATCACCTGTAACAAGTAGGATCACAAATGATGACTTATCTGCATTGAATAGCTGAACAGTATGCAGATGCAAAGCACATGGATCTGTTGATGCATGCTGCGTGCCCTAACTGACTTCTGACCGACCTTATTTTGACATGCACATAACGAAACAAACATATAAATAACCAAGGAGAAAGGAAATCAAAAGAAGATTTCTGCTCTGAAAGAAATGCTCTGAAAGGTTTGCAAAATTTTGAGCATGCAAATGTTCATGCAGCACCCCGACCAAGTGTATGACAACCCAAGTCCAGATCCTGACAGTCGACACCGAAGCAGAAATATCCAATTCACATCTAATGTATGCAACAGTCATATACAAGTGTTCAGTTATAGCCACAGTTCCACAGTTCCCAAGACGTCTATATATGCCATTCACTAATATGACAGCAGCGAGATAAGGTCACATATCTGCGGATCGGGGAGCGGCGGTCTCTCGGGAGAAAACAGTTGACTTTTGATCTCGCGATCAGATTGGAGATCTTTCACTAGCTCTGACGAGGTAGGTTCCATTACTCGATGCTTGTTCAAGGAGGTTAAGTAACTGTTGGTGGAGTTGTTGAGAATCGATTCGGTCGTTAGGCTCGATGCGAATCATTTTCCACATGATCAGACACAAGAGATCATAAAGCATATCAGAACATCGTTCATCTTCTGATAAGCGGGTTACCCATGCCTTCACTGATGGCCGTATGCCTCTGAGATCAGTCGTGTAAAAGTAATCTTCGCTGAATTCATCCGCCTCACCACCTTCGGCACCGCGAAGCTCGGCAAACTCCACGATAGCATCGAACCCAAGTACTATCCAGGTAATGAACTCCAAATATAGGCAGCCAAGACTCCAAATGTCCCACTTCCGAGATATGCGTAGGTTGCGATGATTGTCTGGAGGCCTATAAGTTTTGGTACCAAGCATGCCGGCCGGGTCACCATTAGATACCGATCCGATGCTATGAAGACTAGCCAGGCCTAGGTCCGTGATTTGCAATATTCCGTCCGAGTCAGTGCATCCTGGGTAAGACGGGAACCATACGATGTTCTCTGCTTTCAAATCACCATGACGTCCGAAATAACGACCAGGCTGACGGTCGTCCGGCAGCTGAAACCCGTGGATCAAAGACAGCGCGCTTGCGAGGCCTGTCATTTGCTTCAACGACCACAAGACTTTGTGATAATCAATCTGTTCGAGTGGGATTCTCTTCCAATAATTGCGTAGGTTCACGTCTGCCCATGGAAATACCAGGTGAAACTTGGAGCCCTCCTTATAGGTAAATAGAAGACTGATCAGATGAGGATGGGGCCCGGACGTTTTCCTAAGAGTCATATGCATATCGCGCTCAATTTGAAAACGTGAAGGGTCGAAAGAAAAGAGTTTCTTGACTGCAACTACGGCTTGTCGATCCTAGCCATCAAGCCATGGTGTTAAGCGGTATTTATCACAGGCATCGCTAAAGTAGAAATGTCCACTTACTCGGCAACCAGGAAAATTCCGGAAGGTATGATGAGCAGGATGTATAAAGGCCTGAAAGACCTCACTGAAGCCGCTCTCAATCTCAATTCGTCCCGAATTCGTGAAAGGTAAGATTTGAGCAACCGGAAAATCGTAATGTTTGCCCTGCTCAAACACCGGAGCCAACATACGCCATTGTTTTTTCGCCAGGCTCTTAATTTCAGGGTCAGTCCATTCACTTAGAGCCTTGATATCGCGGCCTCCGTTTGTCTGCAGTGTCATTCGCTCGCTTCCAGTTCTTGCAGGCTTCATGAAGAAAGGCAGATCGGTGTCACTTATCCCCTCATCCAGAAACCTCAAGATATCAGCACCTCGTTTCCTGCTGACGAGGATTGCGAATAGTTTCATAGACGTCCGAACAATTCTCCTGGCTTCTGTCTCTGCATTGCGACCTTGCACCAACCCCTCCTCACGAAGTATGTCCTCCACTTTGGATTCGGTGATCAGTTCTTTGAGACTGGACAGTGGAACATACACTACGTGCCCTGAACTGTCAGGCTCGATACTCGCACTGGATAAGGGCTCTTGAAGCTCGTGAAGAGGACTAAAAGGGCTAGAGGCCACATCCAGGGAAGATCGCCTCGAGATGGAGCGATCAGATTGTAGTCCGGATGAGGACTGACGGTCCAAAGGAGCGCGGGGGTAATGCGGACTGAGTCCATCTACTCTGACCTGACTGTCAATGACCGATACGTTCGCAGGTGGGAAGGATGGATGATCATCGGAATTAGGATGTGTTCCAGACCGGGAAGACTGTTTGTCGCGATGAAGGCGTCGAAACAAATGTATGAACGGTTGAAAAAGACAGCACAGAAAAGCCATTGTTGAAATGTATAACGTGCACAAACTCAATGTATCAGGATTTGTTTGACGATTGTTCGTAGCCTTGCCTGGCGTAGAGTATCAGAGGAAACATGGGCAAAGATCAGTAAAACACCGGCTGAGGGAGAAAAATCCCTCAAAGCAGGTCAAAAGGCTGTAATATAAAATGACAGGACTGGGAGAGCAAATTCGTACAAGGCGATGGCGGGACTGCGATCGAAGGTTGAGAACAGAAAAGCTAAAGAGAAATGGATATGTGATGACCAGTTGACGGGGAAAGAATTGACAGAAGTGGTGAACTAGCTCGTCAGAGTGCAGAGTAATTTATGTAAATGGTCACATTTAATCATGATCTGCCGTTGCATGGTTGATTGACACCCACGAGCGACGAGAACGGGCACGGGGGCTGTGTGTGCAGGGTGAGAAAGCCAAGAACAGAGACTGCCTCTCGAGATGACCAGTCAGGATACCTACAATGGATGTCAGGTCAGGAACAAGTCAATCATATTGCCGGCTTCGGCTCTCAAGACTACCTTTTGCTTCCAAGCTTCTTAAAATGACGTTCCTTCTCCCAGCGATGTTTACACTGACGAAGTCAAAACAAGTGGCAAATTGCGGGTACGTCTGAGTTGAATCGTTTTATCGGACAGCTCGAGGGTGTGCCACGCTTTTCTGAAGTCGAATTCGCACTAATGGAGGTGCGGCTTGGGCGCATTCATTTGTTTTGGCCGCAATCCCGTACCTACTTCAGTACCGTAGGTAGGTGCGCCAGTAAGCAGGTGTGTAAGAGGACAGGACTCGATTATGGCCTACATCATGCACTGCGCAGTCGGCTGCATTAGCGTAGAGTGAGTCGAGTCTTTTGCGTTATCCCCGCGCTGAGAGCATCAGAGCCTTTCTCTGCTTGTCAACGATCGTTTCTTTTGCTACTGATCCTTCGTACACGGCAAAGAACTGGTGATACCGATTGTGGCCGAAGAGTCCTACAGAAGCCATACAGATATGGTCAGGCCTTTTTTTCTAGAGACGTCACTACATTTCGAGGGATGGATAGACTGAAGGAGGAAGAGAGGCATCTTCCTGGGTAGGCGACGCGGTCCTCGATGTCATCGTGGTCTAGCTAATGTGTCTAATGAGACCGAGCTCAACCGAGCCGGTGTACTTTCCTCAGATCGACCTCGCCTGCCCCCATTCTCTAAATTGCTCTCCTTTTTCCTTCCAAGCACTGCCTCAATAACTTGGTATCGGTCGCACAGCCACCAGGCGATGACTGTCAACACAGTTAGAGGAAGAGATACCACGGCTAAAATCCAGACTTGGTGAGAGATCTGCAAATTGCCCTTGTCGTTGAGATGCACAAACTCCGTTGAGAAGAAATTCTGTCCTAGTGTCAATGAGAACCTTCGTTTGCTGTTCTTTCACTTACTGATACTATTGTGGTTGGCAGATACACGAGGCCGATGATCGTCAAGACCTTGACCGCTGCGGCATCCCGAGCACTTCGAGCCTACATTAACGCATTTGTCGTCAGCCGTCTAAAAGGGATAATTAAATATATGAAGGCCGTCTGTACTGACCGCCAGCTTAACCATCTCCTCACTCTCAATACGGGAGGCATACGCAAGCTGTGTCAAAGCGGCCGCTTCTTCATAAGCAAGCAGATCT